TCCACTGCCTGACTCCTTTGATTTTATATTGTTCATTAGAGAAACAAAGGAAGAAGGTAATTGGGTTCTGCGGAATTCATGAGTAATCGAGTAATTCTGCTGATGGTGGAACCGGCACTAGAGAGAGCTCCACATCCTGTTGGGAGCGGGGGGTGGGGGGTGGCAGTGTCTGTGACCAGGAAGTTTTTAGTGTCTTCCTTGCTTAACCTTAGAGCCGGTGAACTCTGGCACCCCAACCTCATTCTTACCTGTTCAAGCCAAGGAAGCAACCATTTTTTAGGATGTGGAAGCCTGTCGCTCTGGAAGGCTGGAAGGTAAGGCTGGCGGGGTCCCGGTGCACTGGGTCCAAGCCCCACCCTTTTGTTACCAGCCGTGTGATTGTGGGCAGTTCAGGTCCTTTTTCCCTTGCACCTCGAGGTCTGCATCTGTCAAACGGGATGAGAAGACCTCACAGAGTTGCTGTGGAGATTATCCTTCACCAGCTCGTTCCATGAGCATCTGAGAGACCTGCTGTTCACCATTCGTGGTTCTGAGTGGCGAGGAGATGAATATGAACAAAGCCTCTCTCTCTAGAGGCTGACACATCCTAGTGAAAAGAGAGGGCTGCCACGGAGGGGGTGGGTGGTCAGGATGACAATGGCAAGACCACAGATCCGGGAGGGGCTCAGAGTCACCGCTCGCGCGTGGGCTTTGGGTTTTGTGCTACTTGATATGCGGAGCCATAGGAGGGTTTCAACAAGAGGAATGACCCAGCTGCTTTACATTTCAAAACACTGCTCTGGCTGCCAAGCTGGAGATAGACTTTAGCAGGGCCAGGATGAAAACAGGTAGAATAATGAGGTCATCTTGGTAATGTGGGTGAGAGGCGGTGGTGGCTTGAACTAGAATGACAGCAGCATGGGTGGAGGAAAGAGGTTCTATTTTGAAGGTAACCAGGAGAACTTGCTGATGAGGTAAGGTGTGGTGTTCGAAAGAAACAGAGGAGTCAAAAGCAAGTCCCAGTTTTTGGCCAAGGCAACTCGAAGCAGGGATTTGCCGTAGGGAAGACTCCAGTCCAAGCTGGGACAGAGGGAAGTTGAGAGTTCATTTTCTGGGCATGTACATTTAAGACGTCTATTAGATACCATGTGGAAATGTCAGGAGTGCCCTGGGGCTCTGTGTCGTCGGGGTGAGGAGGGGAACTCAGCTAAGAAGGCTGGTGGGGTCGGTGGGAGATGGCAGAGGAGAGTAACACGAAGTGTTGATGCGGCTGCACGACTCAAGTGGCCACAGCGCCCAGGACAGCCTGTGCTGTGGGCGTCCGATTCAGGCCTCGTCTCATCCCTCTCTCTTTTCCGTGTCAGATGGCAGATAACCTCGCCCAAATACGTACCATAGCCAACCTCAGGGATCCTGAAAGCCTTACTTGGAGACATACTTTTCTAGATCACTCCATTTTAAATGTGCTAAAGACAAACTTAGGCCCTTCTGGTAAGACCGGACTCGTCCTGCTTAAAATCGCATGACTTCTGAACTGGGTCTCCGCAGGTATCGTGTCTTCAGAACATAAAAACAGAAATTCCTAAACTTTCAGTGCTGTGTTGACCTATGAAGAAGGAAGAAAATAAGAAGACAAGCATTTAAAAAGGCTTATTATGTTCTAGACATGAGGCCTTCACATACACTCATTGGTTATTTACTTACTTATGTTTTAGAGGCTGAGTCTCACTCTGTCTCCCCGGCTGGAGTGTAGTGGTATGATCATAGCTCACTGCACCCTCAAACTCCTGGACTCAAAGGATCCTCCTGCTTCCGCCTCCTGAGCAGCTGGGTCTACAGACAGGTGCCACCATGCTTGACTAATTTTTTAATTTTTTTATAGAGACAGGGTCTCACTATGTCGCCCAGACTGGCTCAGACTCCTGGCCTCAAGGGATCCTCCCGCCTCAGCCTCCAAAAGGGTTAGAACTACTGGAGGCATGAGCCACCATACCTGGCCTATTTGTTTCTTATTACATACATTTGTATTTATTTTACAGAAAATGTTCCTCAACTTAGAATGCGGCCACATCCCAATAAGTCCGTTACAACTTGAAAATTGCAAGTCAGAAAGTAAAGGAAACATTAAGTAAAAAATGCACTTGACAACAGAGTCTCGCTGCTGTTGCCCGGGCTGGAGTGCAATGGCGCGATCTCGGCTCACTGTAACCTCTGCCTCATGGGTTCCAGCAACTTCTTGCCTCAGCCTCCTGAGTAGCTGAGATTACAGGCGCCTGCCGTTGTGCCTAGCTAATTTTTTGTATTTGTAGTAGAGACGGGTTTCACCTTGTTGGCCAGGCTGGTCTTGAACTCCTGACCTCAGGTGATCCACCCACCTCAGCCTACCTTAGATATACTCAGAATACTCACATTATCTTGGATTTGGACAAAACCATCTGACCACGCAGCACACTGTGGAGATGGGTCATTCCTCTCATGGCTGCATGGCTTGTGGCAATCTGGGAGGCGCGGCTCACTGCCTCTGCGAAGCATCTCAGGGGAGCATCGCACCACACACTACCAGCCCAGGAGAAGAACAGAATTCACCATTCCATGCACAGGCTCTCCTGAATCCCTATGGCTTTCGCAACATCTTAAATGTTGCCAGAATCTTACATTGAGCCATTATAAGTCGGGGACTATCTGTCTGTATAGTCAGGCTTTGAGTATTCAGCACCCTGGTGCTAGTTCCTTGGTTTTTGGCTGGTTCCATATCTCCGATGTAATAAGTAAACGGAGCCCAGCAAGTCCCCTGTGTTTGTGTAGGATTTCCATTTTATAAATGCTGACCCAACATTCTTACGCAAGCCCCGGATGGAGTTTGGAAGTGTGATACTGACCAAGTTTTATTCTTGTCGATGAAGGTTACATTCAGAAAGTTGTATTTCACTTCGTTTACAGAGCCCTCTATTATGCAGAAAGCATTTAGCCTAAACATAACCCCGTGGAGCCGGCAGATTCGTTATAGGAACCCAATGTCATTTCCAACAACGGGCATCTGCTGGCTCCTCTTCCCCTCTGGGCACTGGATGGAGCTGTGCGGCCTTCGTTCCTGGCTGTGGGCCATGTGCCAAACTCTTCCTATCAAGTAAAAGTTGAGAAAGTGGACCCTTTATAGTTGGAAATGAAATGACTTTACATACATCTTAACTTTTTATTTGCTGTGGGCAAAATGGATGTGATGCAGAGGTTTGGGAGGTGGGTGATAGTTTTAGGAGTAGCAAGGCTGGAGGATCTTACTGGAGAAACAGATCAGTCCAAGCCTACACCGAGACAGTTCAGTTGTCACAGCAAGACAGACAACGGTGGTGCCGGGTACCTGCCTGTCCCCTCAAACCAGAACTCAAACCAAAATGATTTTAGAAATGTAAGTGGAATATAACTCTTGTTTTCTTTTAGAAATTGCTTTTTGAGCTTCACTGTTTTTCTAGCCTGGTATTGAAAAATTCTTGCAGATAGGCTCATAAAGTTTTGAGCTGGTAAACATTGTAACTAGCCTGTAAAATTTCCTTTTTTCCTTTCTGCATAGTAAGTGGAGACAGAGCAGTAATCTGAGTGTTCCTCCTGTGACTTGCTTTATGTTGTTAAAACAAGGTCGCCCTTACCCATAACGTTTCTCTGAAGTACCTTTAGCCTGGCGTAATTACTCGGTCACTTTCTGCTTGGAGTCATACTCAATCATGTGTTCAGGAATGAATGTGTGGACTGTATATTACCTTGCCTACCTGCGGTATAAGGTTTTTAATGGCTATATTGATTTCTGATTCATTTTTGTCCTTCCTTAGCTCATTACTTGCCCATACTAGGAGCTCAATAAATATCAGTAGAATGGACCTGAATTAGTGCTTGTACCTCTTGTGTTGATCACGTTATTCAGTGATAATTATAAAAGGAAAACGTATAATAGCAACTAAAAGTGTGATTTCATTGAGTTTTTTAAAATTCTATTTTTATTTATTTTAATTGTCCTCTTTATTTGAAATGTGTTGTTTTACATGGATGCGATTTTTAAGTTAGGCTATTTTCCGATGTGCTACAACAAGACTTATGGAAATTAAATTACCTTTTACTTTTAGTCAACTACATACAAGAGAATTGCCTGGTGTTTGTGGGCAGAGCGCTCCTTTAATGGGCTCCTTTTTTTGTTTATTCTTTTGAGACAGTCTCTCTGTTGTTGCCCAGGCTGGAGTGCAATGGCACAATCTCAGCTCACTGCAACCTCCACCTCCAGGGTTCCAGCAATTTCTTGCCTCAGCCCCCTGAGTAGCTGAGATTACAGGCGACTGCCACCACGCCTGGCTAAGTAGAGATGGGGTTTCGCCATGTTGGTCAGGCTGGTCTTGAACCCCTGACCTGAGGTGATCCACCCACCCAGGCCTCCCAAACTGCTGGGATTACAGGTGTGAGCCACTGTGCCCGGCCAATAGACTCCTTTCTAATACTTTAAAATTACTTGGGAAAACATATGATTTGGTGGCTTTACATACATTTATTTTTACCTCTTGATTTGAGTAGAGAGCCACATGTCCTGGAAATTCCATGAAGTGAATAAAAACTCTATAGCAAAAATGTGCTTATACATTTTCAAAAGCCAGGATTATTCTTTTTTTTTTCCTATAATATTTCTATTCATTTTTTAAGTTTTGCTTTAGGTTCCTGGGTACATGTACAGGTTTGGGGTTATATAAGTAAACTGCATGTCACGAGGGTTTGGGGTATGAAATATTTCGTCACCCAGGTACTAAGCACAGCACCCAGCAGGTATTCTTTCGCTCCTCGCCCTCCTGCCTCTCTCCTCCCTCAGGCGGACCCTTGTGTCTGCTGCTCTCTCTTTGCGACCTTATGTACTTCATGTTTATCCCGTACTTATAAGTGAGGATTATTCTTAATAAAAATCAGCCTTTAGGTTTTAAGTTATAAGCTCTGTGTATATGCTGACATTTTAATAGAGATGATCTGGTTTTGTTTTTTGTACACAATAGTACAGGGAAACCCAAACATGAGTGGTTTCTCCAGAAAGATTCCGAAGGGGACACACCTTCACTTATCAACTGGCCTTCCAGGTACCCGCACGCTGGCCCTCCGGGGCCTGTGTTCACGAGTGCTGCTGCTTCCTGCCGTGCCGTTCCACACATCAGCTAACGCCCGCTCTCCTCTTGCCCTCTTTAATCCCAGTGCACTTGCAAATCACGTGGAAGTTACTTTCTGATCATTTGCTTTTCTCCTCCACGTGCCCTGATCCGTGCTAATAGTATCTCTCCTCCCTCCTCTTCTTCCCTCTTTCTTGATTGACAAGCCTTTCACTTCACCTCTTGCTTTTCTCTTCTCACCAACTCACCTAGGACTGGCCAGTGAGGGGCGGTGGGAGCACCCAGCCGGGCCCTGGGCTGCTCTCCTGAGCTGGACTCCCCAGGCCAGGTCCCTTCTGCTCAGCTCCCTGCTGCTCCCAGCCCTTCCTGCCTCCTTGTTTCATATCTCCTCATCTCTAGACCAGTACTTAATTTTCAATGGTTAATTTAGGTCATGTGGTTTTAAAAGCAAACAAAACCCCCTATCCTTTCATTTTTAAGACTGGGGGCAGGGAGAGGCGGAAGGAGTCAGAATGAGTAAGTCATGCAAGGACAAAGCTCCCCACACAGTTTCTAACAGTCACTTTGTTCTCCGCTGAGGACAACATTCAGATTGTCTGTGATCATAAGCGCGCATTCCGCAGGAGAACTGGAACCGCACTCCAGTCTCCTTTTGATTAACAAAGGTTTTAAGTGAAAACCGCCAATACTGGCTCGTCCCTGGAAAAAATAGCAACTCAGAATGTTTTCTTTTCCTGAGTTGTCGTTAGTCACTACCTATATATGTCCGTCTGTGTGGATTTTCCTTTAATGATGCATGTATGGATACTCCACGTCTTATGTTAAAAATATATAGGAGGTTGGGTGTGGTGTCTCACGCCTGTAATCTCAGCACTTTGGGAGGCTGAGGCAGGCAGATCATGAGGTCAGGAGATCAAGACCATCCTGGCTAACACGGTGAAACCCGATCTCTACTAAAAATACAAAAATTAGCCAGGCGTGGTAGCACGTGTCTATAGTCCCAAGTACTCGGGAGGCTGAGGCAAGAGAACCGCTTGAACACGGGAGGCGGAGGTTGCAGTTAGCTGAGATCGCACCACTGCAGTCCAGCCTGGGCCACAGAGTGAGACTCTATCTTAAAAATATGTGTATATATATATATATATATATATATATATATATATATATATGTAAGTAAAGGTTCTGCATTCTTCTTCCCCCAAGAAATCCCTTTTCCTACTCTAAAAGCACTCTTCAAAGCTTAGCCCTAATCAGTGTTCCATTCTCAAGTAGTTGGAATTTTTATCTCCTCTTTCACCATATGGTAAAAATAAGAACCAGTTAACACTATTCAATATTTACTTTCTGCTAAGCACTAAGTCATGTGCTTTGCAAATGTCACATTACATTATGTCACTATTATTTCCCATTTAAAAGGTAAAGCGGCTGAGGCTTCCTAAGGACAGGTGAGTTGCCCAACACCACACAGCTGGACCTGGCCGAGCAGGATCTGAGCACAGGTTCCCACCCCACAGCCAGAGCTCTTGTTTACTTTGTTTTGCGGTGATGGAAAAAGGTCTGTAGCTTTTGAAAAGGGTGTCAGTTTTGCTCTCAGATAATTTGAATTACTCTAGAAACAACTAGAGCAATCTCTCTTTCTTAGTTTATTTTATTTTGTGTTTTAGGACAGAGTCTATCTTTATTTCCCAGGAGGAGTGCAGTGGTACAATCATAGCTCACTGCAGCCTCAAACTCCTGGATTCAAGTGGTCCTCCTGCCTCAGTCTCCCAAGTGGCTGGGACTTCAGGCACAAGCCACTGCACCTAGCTATTGTTTTACTTTTGTAGAGACAATATCTCACTATGTTGCCCAAACTGCTCTCCAACTCCTGGCCTCAAATGATCCTCCTGCCCAGATTTCCCAAAAGGTTGGGATTACAGGAATGAGCCAAATAACAGCAGGATAAGGGGACGATGGTGGGAAATGTTTACTTCATTAATTCTTTCAGCAAATATCTTGTCTCTAACATTCTTTTGGTGCTAGAATTATTCATAATGATGCCCAAACTGGCGGCATGCCTCATGAATGAAGGAATATGCTCTTTATTGCATGAAAAAAGTTTGTGAATGTCTAATTGAGTGCTTTAAAAGAGAGGTGATTGTTATATTTTGAACCAAAAACAAACAAACAAACAAAAAACAAAAAGCATAAATAATGGTGAGTGCTCTTACATTTTCAGGAGACAATGAAATCACGTTTGGTCAATAGGTGTCTGTATGCCAGGAACCTTCCCCACAGTCTGTGTTCTGGGCCTGTGCATGAGGAAAGCTTCCTGATTCAAGGCACCAGCCTCATTGTGCCCTAGTGCATGCTGGTGGTGTATATTAATGCATCTTTCTCTGGCTTCTGGGTATTTATTTGGTCAGAAGGGACCCATTCTCCCCCAGATTAGCATCTGACCCCGGTCCGCTTTTACAAGGGGTAGAGTGAGTTTTGCGCCCCCGGACATACATATGCAAATTGGAAACTCAGCTCAGATCACCTGACAAGTAGTTGGTTTCTAACATTAGACACCGAGATGCTTTTTCCCAGGTTATTCTCTCTCGGGGTCGGTTTCCATTCACTGGTACTCTGTGATCTGCGCATGCTTCCCTCCTGTGAAGCCAGCCATTATTGCACTTTGCAACTTAAATCCTTTTTCTTTCTTAAAGAGTTAAAGTTAGAGAAAAATTGGTGAAAGAGGAAAGTGCTCGAAGCAGCCCTGAACTCGCCTCAGAGTCCGTAACTCAGAGGAGACACCGGCCCGCGCCCGTCCATTGCCTGCCGTTTCAGTCCGAGCACTCGGCCTTTGATAGGGTCCCCAGCAAGGCAGCAGGCTCTGCACGACAGCCAATCGGTGGCTACGTGCAACCCGCAGATCCCGGCCACACCGCCAAGCTGGTGATGGCAGCACCCCTAGAACATGTATCTGAGTGCAGCTGGGTACCGTCAGCCACCCAGAATGTCCCCAAACCTCCCACCTTGAAGGTTCTAGAAGGTGAGAGAAGAGAGAGCCCAGTTCTCCATATCTGTGAATCAAAAGCAGAACAAGAAGAGGAAGGAGAAGAAAAAGCAGAAGAAGAAGATGTGCTCTTCGCTGAAGCTCTCGAGCAAAGCAAGAAAACCCCACTGGCTTTGGAGGGTGATGAGCTTGCGAGAAGCCTGGAAGATCCCTCTGGAATCGAGGATTTTGGTGAGCCTGCTGTGAGCACGGTCACCTTAGAGCATCAGAAGGAACTGGAAGGCATGGCGCACCCACCTCAAGCTCAGCACCAGCCCGCTGAGAGGACAGGCAGGAGCGAGATGGTTCTCTACGTTCAAAGTGAGCCCGTGTCCCAAGACGCCAAACCATCCGGTCACAACAAGGAAGCCTTGACGAAAAAGCGTAAGGTCCGCACCCGCTCCCTGTCAGATTTCACGGGCCCCCCTCAGCTCCAGGCCTGGAAGTGGAAGGACCCAGCTTCCAGGAGAGAGCCGGAGCTGCCCAGCCCCAAGGCTGAAGGGCCCTATGGGGAGTTTGGCGTGCTGGACACAAAGGTCTCTGTCGCCCAGCTCCGAAGTATGTTCCTGGCATCTGCCAACGCCAGCAGGACACCTGAACTGTAGGTGATGCTTCACGTGCCCTCCAGCTGTGCCACTTGCACGTCCCTGGCAGAATGACTCACTCCCCTACTTGTGTTGTGTTCTGCAGTGAATCATATTAGCTTAGCTCACAGGTGTGTGCAGGGCAACTGTGCAGAAAATGGCTCAAAAACTACCGCTCTGCTTCTGCCTACTAACGGGGAATAGCGGACTGGGTCTCCCGAGTGCCCCCTTCCTGATGTGCATGGTAGAGGCATGAAGAGGGGTTTGGCGGTGTCTGTGCCTTGACTCACGGAGATGCATAAACCTTTGCTGTCTTCTCTTTCCTTGTCTTCGTTTGCCTTCCATATACTCTCTGCCCTTTGATTCTAAAAGCAAATCACGGGTGGAGAGGTCAGCCGAAGGACCTGGCTTGCCCACCAGTGTGGACCCGGAGAGAGGGTCCCGGAAACCAAGACGCTATTTTTCTCCTGGTGAAAGTAGAAAAACTTCCGAGAGATTTAGAACCCAACCTGTAACTTCAGCAGAACGAAAGGAATCGGATAGGTAGGCATGCGTCTGTGCCATTTCCTAGTCCAGGAACGTGACAGCGACACAGGAGTGTCACACACTGACGGCCTTTGTGCTGTTTATACAGGATGCTGGCCATTCCATGATTCTTCCATCTAATCTGTAAGCGTTAGGTATTTGGCTTATGTTAAAGACTTTTTAAAGAATGTTGGCCTTTATAGTGGTATTATGATACATTCACAATTTTACATTGCATTTAGGTGATAAGAAGTGAGAAATATTATTTTTCTCCACTTATTATTTTTAATGCTTTTTACCCCCTTGTTAAATTAGACTCCAGATTGCATATTCACCCGATTTTACAGTGAAAGTAACTGAGGAATTTTGTATTCGTTTTATAAATGTCCATCTACTTGTTGTATTTGCTCTGTTGTATAGAACTGAGAAGGTTTGTGTAAACATTGTCCTCAGTGATGTGTAGTAAGCTGCACGTGTGCCTGGTCTCCCCACAAGGCGTGTCCTTGGCTGGGATCGTGTGCACACACGCTCCACAGTGTCACTTCACAACTGTGCATGTGTTTTCACAATTAGAATTGCTACCAGGAGGTTATTTGTTCAAAGAATTTAATTGCATTTTTAGTTTGACTTTTAATATGATGTTTTATTTCGATCTTCTGCTCCCACCTGCTAATTTATGATGATTATTTGCTAATGTCTTTCCCAGGTGCACTTCACAGTCAGAAACGCCAACTATTGACGGCAAGTACCTTTTCCCCTTTCCTTCCCCTTCTTTATTGTCTCATCTAGACGGGATTTAGCAATACAATTTATGGCTTTTTGAGAGAATAAGATGATAGAGCATATCAATGTCTCTCTTTGCTGCAGCCTTTCTTTCTGTGAATATAATAAAACCTAGTTGCAATTTTTGGATGAGCTTTCTCTTCTTTTTGAGAGCAGTTAGAGAATCATGCAGTGACCAATAGAAAAACAGCTAATTCAAACCAAAGAGGCAGGTTCTTCTTGCTGCTGCTACTGTTTAAAAATAAGGCCAGGCATGGTGGCTCATGCCTGTAATCCCAGCATTTTGGGAGGCCAAGGTGGGCAGATCATGAGGTCAGGAGTTCGAGACCAGCCTGACCAACATGGTGAAACCCTGTCTCTACTGCAAATACAAAATAGCTGGACGTGGAGGCGTGCGCCTGTAATCCCAGCTACTCAGGAGGCTGAGACAGGAGAATCACTTGAACCCAGGAGGTAGAGGTTGCAGTGAGCCAAGATTGTGCCACTGCACTGCAGCCTGGGTGACAGAGCAAGACTCCATCTCAAAAAAATAAAATAAAAGTAAAATTAAAAAATGAAAGAATCCCCTCCATAAATATACTCATGAAATCTCGATCGGACAAACGTTAGCGTAGCAGTCCCTGGACAGAGTTTGCTTTGGTCTGGCTTGGTTTGAATTGCAAGGGAAATTAGTACCTTTTCACTGAGCAGAAAGAATGGGCTCCCTGCAAGGGGCAGCTACCACCAATTATTCTTTTAGTGCACCTGTTCTTGTATTCAGAGATTTCCAAGTCAGCCCTGGAAGGCTTTTTGGAGACTGAACTTATATTTTCTAATAATGTCCAGTTTTTAATTTGTGACTTTTTGCAGATGAAGAAAAAGTAGATGAACGAGCCAAGCTGAGCGTTGCCGCCAAGAGGCTGCTTTTCAGGGTAAGCTGTTCTATATGCTTGAATAGAGATGATCACTGGGTGCAGTAATCTCAGCTACTTGAGAGAGAACAAAGCAGGAGGATCACTTGAGATCAGGAGTTCGAGACCAGCCTGGGCAACATAGTGAGACCCTGTCTCAAAAAAATAAAAATTGTAAGACTTAGGGAGGGAGAATCTTGTGGACCCATCCTGCTTCATGCACCTCTGGGCATGCTAAGGCCTCCCAGCTCTGGCTCACCTGTGTTCTCTTTCTAGTCAGTCTTTGGCTGGTTGTGGCCACCTCGTGGACACAGCATGAGTGTACAGTTCTGACAATGACACAAGGCTGTCATTAGAGACCCCTCTTGTAGGTCCTGTAGGAGAACAGAGTAAAGACTTTTTACTACATCCATTTCCTTTCCTTGAATTTCTTTTTCATTTAAAAATTTTTTTTAGAGATAGGGTCTTACTCTGTCACTCAGGCTGGAGTGCAGTGATGTGATCATAGCTCACGGCAGCCTCAACCTCCCAGGCTTAAGTGATGTTCCTAACTCACCCTCCCAAGTTGCTGGGACTACACACCTGTGCCAGTACGCCTGGATAATTTATGCATTTTTTGTAGAGATGGGTTCTCACTTTGTTGCCCAGGCTGATCTTGAACTCCTGGCCTCCAGCAATCTTCCCTCCTTGGCCTCCCAAAGTGCTGGGATTATAGGCATGAGCCACCATGTACAGCTCTTTCTTTGAATTTTTAAGGGTTCCACAATGTTTCTAATCTTAGGAGATGGAAAAATCTTTTGATGAACAAAATGTTCCAAAGCGACGCTCAAGAAATGCGGCTGTGGAGCAGAGGCTCCGCCGTCTGCAGGACAGATCCCTCACGCAGCCCATCACCACGGAGGAGGTAGTCATCGCGGCCACGTAAGTGCCCACAGGACTTCTCAGCCTTGGCTCTAATGTCCTTTTTTTTTTTTTTTTTTTTTTTTTTTAATACATTTAAAGAGTGTTCAATGAAAATGAGGCATTGGGGAGGTGGTTTCGCTAGAAGCCACAGAGAAGTTAGTGCTAAAGGATTTTGTTTACTGTGGTCTCTCTAAACTTTGTAATGGGATGTGTTATCTATTGTATCTCCTGGAAAAACTTGAAGGGAGTTTTTGTTCCATTTTGTTTCTGTCTCTGCATATTGTTGTTTAAAAAATCCCTTCGACAATGGAAAATAGAAACATGAAACTTGGTGGATTGCTGTGATGAAACCCCAGCTTCCAAAGTCACCCACTCCTGGCTGGACATGCTCAGCCCATATCCCATTCATTTTCCCTTTCCTCCTGCGCTATTTTCAGGCAAACACTAGAGGTCTTATTATTTCATCCATAAATATCCAGTACACATTTTTTTTTTTTTCTTGACACAGAATCTCGCTCTGTCGCCCAGGCTGGAGTGCAGTGGCGAGATCTTGGCTCACTGCAATCTCTGCCTCCTGGGTTCAAGCGATTCTCCTGCCTTAGCCTCCTGAGCAGCCAGAACTACAGGTGTGTGCCACCACGCCCACCTATTTTTTGTATTTTTAGTAGAGACGGAGTTTCACCATATTGGTCATGCTGGTATCAAACTCCTGACCTTGTGATCCACCTGCTTTGGCCTCCCAAAGTGCTGGGATTACAGGCGTGAGCCACCGTGTCTGGCCCCACAGTACACACATCTCAGATAAGGGTTTGTTTTGTTTTTAACAGCCAGAAATTTCTTTTCTTTTCTTTTCTTTCTTTCTTTTTTTTTTTTTTTTTTTTTTGAGACACAGTCTTACTCTGTCACTCAGGCTGGAGTACAGTGGCACAATCTCATCTCACTGCAACCTCCACCTCCCGGGTACAAGTGATTCTCCAGCCTCTGCCTCCTGAGTAGCTGGGATTACAGGCACATGCCAATATACTCTGCTAATTTTTGCATTTTTAGTAGAGATGGGATTTCACCATGTTGGCCCAGCTGGTCTCGAACTCCTAACCTCAGGTGATCTGCCTACCTTACCCTCCCAAAATGCTAGGATTAATTGCCAGAAATTTCTAAAAATTAAATTGCTGTTTGATAACTTTCCAAACAACAGGAGGTTTGTTTTGAGTAACATGTTTCAATATACTCAGAATTAATTTTCCATAATAGTTCATTCAGAGATAATTGCTTCAATCAAGTGAAAAAGTTTATTATTTTGGGTTTTTTTTTTGAGACAGTGTCTCACTGTGTCACTCAGGCTGGAGTGCAGTGAGCAATCTTGGATCACTGCAGCCTCGACCTCCTGGGCTCAACTGATCCTTCAACCTCAGTCTCCCAGGTAGCTGGGACTATAGGCAACACCACCACACCTGACTCATTTTTGTATTTTTTGTAGAGATGGGGATTTGCCCTGTTTCCCAGGCTAGTCTCAAACTCCTGGGCTCAAGTGGTCCTCCCACCTCAGCCTCCCAAAGTGCTAGAAATATAGGCCGGACACTGATAACTTTTAAAAAGTAGATTGAGGCCTGGTGCAGTGGCTCATGCCTGTAATCCCAGCCCTTTGGAAGGTTTAAGTGGGTGGATCACCTGAGGTTAGGAGTTCAAGACCAGCCTGGCCAACATGGTGTAACCCCATCTCTACTAAAAATAAAAAATAAAATTAGCTGGGAATGGTGGCATACACCTATGAACCCAGCTACTTGGAAGGCTGAGGCCAGAGAATTGCTTGAATCAGGGAGATGGAGGCTGCAGTGAGCTGAGATTGCACCACTGCATTCCAGACTGGTTGACAGAGTGAGACTCTGTCCAAAAAAAAAAAAAAAAAAATAGATTGAAAGCAATATTCTAAAACACTGACATAATCTACTGATTTTCGGATGGCTAATATTTGCTCTTTTGAATTATTATTATTTTTTACACCCAGACATGTATTCTCAAGACAGAGTAAATCCTTTCCCAGCTCTGAACACCTATTCTTATTGCTTTGGGTAGCCACTGTCTCTTTTATTTGTAATTGCTTTTCAAGTTCTTATATGATCCCCCCCCCAAAAAGTAATTAGCAAAGAATTCCGTTAAAATTTTTGATTTAACGTTTCTGAGTTTAAAACTATGCTGTCCTTAATGCTTCTTTTCTTCTCTCTCCTTATGAATGTTTCCTCTTTGGCAATTGCTTGTAAAGTGAACCTATCCCTGCTTCGTGTTCTGATCGCACCCACCCTGTAATGGCGAGAATTCCTAGCCCCACTGTAGCTAGGACTGCTGTGCAGCCTGCCAGGTACTGGACAGATACGGATGCATGCGGCACCCGGGGCACAGGTGCCAGCCAGCAGGTGCATCGCAAAGTCTTGAATGTCTGTTGTTGGTTTGACAAACAAGTCAGTGCCGTGAGTTGTTCCGGAATACATGACATTTTGTTTGTCATAGCGCAATGTGCTGATAACTACATGCTGGTGTGCATGGGAAAACCTTTCGTCTCTCTGCATATGTTATGTGTTAGAACTAGGATCACACTAACTCACATATCCAGTTGCTTTGTTTCTGTTTTTCATAATGTCATCCCTCAAAAATTTTGTTCTTCATCTAAATACTGCTATAGCACTTAATAAAGATTAACAGAAAAATGGGACATTGGCCGGGCGCAGTAGCTCCCGCCTGTAATTCCAGCATTTCGGGAGGCCGAGGCGGGCAGATCACAAGGTCAGGAGATCAAGACCATCCTGGCCAACATGGTGAAACCCAGTCTCTACCAAAAATACAAAAATTAGCTAGGTGTGGTGGCCTGTGCCTAGAATCCCAGCTACTTGGGAGGCCGAGGCAGGAGAATCACTTGAACCCAGGAGGCAGAGTTTGCAGTGAGCTGAGATTGTGTCACTGTACTCCAGCCTGGCAACAGAGCAAGACTCCATCAAAAGAAAGAAAGAGAGAAAGAGACAGAAAGAGAGAGAGGAGAAAAGCAAAGAAAAGAAAAAAAATAAAAGAAAGAAAGAAAGAGAACAGAAGAGAAGAGCAAAGAAAAGAAAAATAATGAGACATTATTATGATAAGACCCAGTCTTTTTCAAACACCTGTAAACACAAATACATGTTGAAAACAATCTTCCCTCTTTCTAATTTATAGAGAGATCATGCCATTTTATTTGGGGACTGGGAAAATAGCAATTTATAGTGTCTAAACATAGATGTTTTACTATTGTGTTTTGGATTTTGGGGCTTTAAAATTATGTCCTTACACCAGGTCACATCCCTTCATTTTACTGTTATGTGAGCCAAAACACAAAAGCTAAAAATAATGGCAGTGCAGGGATAAAGCTGGCACACCCACAGCAGGGCCCTCCAGGGGAAGTGGGTTTCCCTACCCTCCTGGCTTCTACACAAGATCCATGGAGGACTCTGAGGCTTAGGTGGCTTTTTTGTCACCAGCCTCATTATGGAGGAACACGGAGGCTGGCTGCTCTTTGGCCTGAGACAGCTGTGCATTGGGGACTCACTGGAGTCAAGGCAGAATATCTCCCTTCCTAGATCTGAGAATTGGATCGGTCAGGGACAGAAGGTATATTGCATTAAAAACCTCTCAAGATTCACAGTGACTGTGAAGACTTCAGGCTTTCCTTCTCTTCTAGCTGGAAGTTGGAGGGAGTTATTTGTTTATTAACTTATAATGTATTTATTTATTTATTTTTGAGACAGAGTCTTGCTCTGTCACCCAGGATTGATCACTGCTAACTGCAGCCTCAACCTCCCAGACTCAAGCAATTCTCCCACCTCAGCCCCCCAAGTAGCTGGGACCACAGGTGCACACCAGCAAGCCTGGCTACGTTTTATATTTCTGGTAGAGATGGGGTTTCACATTGTTGCCCCGGCTGGTCTCTAGCTCCTAAATTCAAGTGATCCTCTTGCCTTGGCTTCCATAGCTGTGAGCCACCGTACCCAGTCAGTGGGAGGGATTTATAATCCACTGACATTTCTTTACTCCTCTGCTTACTGGAAATTGCAGATTTAAGTACCTTTTAGAAAACTGGCAGGAACCTATGAGAGTAAACACTAAGCCGAAGCAGTGACTCTTTAAAAATTAAGCCATTTGTCTTTAGCAAGTGACAATCAAGACCTTCTGTTATTATGTGGTTGACAGAAGACCATATTGTTTCCTAATTGTTTAGAATGAAAGACCACCTTCAGAACACATCTTCAGATGATGTCTCAATGCACCGTAGGTACTGCTGTGCGACTCCCTTTCATTCTGTTTACTGTGATACTAACAATGCCACCTCTCTGTCTGAGATAAGGTGTAGCCAAGCTGACTTCAGGGTCTCAAATAGGAAATTCGTTTTGTAGAAATAATTCAGAGCTAAAAGTCTGCTGTTCATAGAAGTGGCAACGCTGAGTGTCCTGTACCGACTCTGCTTGTTGAACAGCTGAACGGCTGCCTGCCTCTGTCCTAGATGTGATTAGGGCGAAAGAAGCCCTTTGCAAAACGAAGTGACACTTGGCAGAATTAACATGGAAGCTTAGCGGTGGGCTTTTGTTTATTGGTATCTATGTTGCTGAATTTTTTTTTTTTTTTTTTTTTTTTCAGATTACAGGCCTCTGCTCACCAAAAGGCTTCAGCCAAAGACCAGACAAATGAGGGCAAAGAGCTGGCTGAGCAGGGAGAACCTGATTCCTCCACTCTAAGCTTAGCCGAGAAGTTGGCCTTGTTTAACAAATTGTCCCAGCCAGTCTCAAAAGCGATTTCTACCCGGAACAGAATAGATATGAGACAGAGGAGAATGAACTCTCGCTATCAAACTCAGCCAGTCACGCTGGGAGAGGTGGCGCAGGTGGGTGCACTATAGTCTGATTGCAGTTTGTGTCTGTGGTCTTAAATCGTCACACTGCAATGCTCCTCTGAGGTTAATGATGTCATTAAGGTGTTCTTCCAGGAAACTGCTACCTGCAGGTGATTTGGTAATAACTTTCTTCCTAAAAACGATAACGCTACCAAGCATGTTTCTCTTTTCTTGTTTTCATACCTTGCTGAAATATTTAGAATGAGTCCATTCTGGAGAGAAAAAAAAAAATAGTATCCACAACTGCCTTTTACCCAGAGGATTTTGTTTAACGAGACGTATAATGTAACTATGTCCAGGAGTGGTTTTCCTCTAAGAGAAACAGTGAAACTGCATCAAATCGAGTATTTCAGCTTCTGTCAATTCATAAGCCAGGATTTTTATGGACGATATTTTACAAGCAGCTTCTTCCTTTTTAACTGTGTCCTTCCAGGTGCAGAGTGGAAAGCTTATTCCTTTCTCACCTGCTGTGAACACATCGGTGTCTACTGTAGCATCCACGGTTGCCCCAATGTATGCCGGGGATCTTCGCACAAAGCCACCTCTTGATGACAATGCAAGTGCTACTGACTATAAGTTTTCATCTTCGATGGAAAATTCAGACTCTCCAGTTAGAAGCATTCTAAAATCGCCAGCTTGGCAGCCCTTGGTAGAGAGTAGCGGGAACAAGGGAATGTTGAGAGAATATGGAGAGACGGAAAGCAAGAGAGCTTCCACAGGGCGAGACAGCGGGATGGAGAAGTATGCGTCCTTTGAGGAAGAAGCATCCTACCCCATCCTGAACAGAGCCAGGGAAGGAGACAGCCATAAGGAACCTCAATATGCCATCCCCAGGAAAGGAAGCCTGGAATGGGTGAATCCTCCCATCACTCACCTTGGGGATGAACCAAAGGAATTTTCCGTGGCTAAAACAAGTGCACAAGGAAACTTGGACTTGAGAGACAGGCCGCCCTTTGAAGAGAAGGTGGAGGTGGAGAATGTTATGAAAAGGAAGTTTTCACTGAGAGGTAAATGACTAGTGAGCCTAAAGCTTTAGAAAGCAACTGGGTTTCAGTTTCTGCTTAATTTGTCCTGTGTGTCTGTGATTGCTTTTAACAAAGTTCTAAAGGCAGTTTACAGCTAAATATTGGTTAAAAGTTCAGTGGGAATCAGGCCAGATGCACTGGCTTAGGCCTGTAACCCCAGCACTTTGGGAGGCTGAGGTGGGTGGATCATGAGGTCAGGAATTCGAGACCAGCCTGGCCAACATGCCGAAACCCCATCTCTACTAAAAATACAAAAAATTAGCCAGGCATGGTGGTACATGCCCGCAGTCCCAGCTACTCTGGAGGCTGAGGCAGGAGAATTGCTTGAACCCAGGAGGTGGAAGTTGTGGTGAGCAGAGATCACACCATTGCACTCCAGCCTGGGTGACAGAGCAAGACTCTGTCTCAAAATAAATAAGTAAATAAAAAGTTCAATTGGAATTCCGTTCTCCCCTGGGTCTGACCAGAGAGTGCATCAAGTTGTCAGCAACGAAACTACCGGAAGCACTTTCATGCATCTCGGTAGGATTTCTGCTGACTTTGGTCACTCACACAATGGCCTTCTGAGCTGCTTAGCTCTGCTGGCCTCTTTTAGAAGTTGATGACCCCAAAGATGTAGGCTGGGTAAGCACAAGGAATTAAGGAAGGACTTGACCCCAGTCTCCGAATCGCTGGAGTGTTTCTTCCTGCACACGTGTTTTGCAGGCTAGCAAGCCCACTGAGTGGGCCTCTCACCATCTTTCTAAGTTTGCATGAAACAGGACAGCGTCAGTTATAATAAAGGGTTTGGTGTGTGAGCACAGCACATTTGCATGTTAAAGTATTGTTTTGGAGACTAGAACCGTTCTGGAGTTAATAGTTAAAGCTCACTTCCTGTGTCTCGCACCAATGGCCACGAAGCATTGTGCTGTGTGGGGACCCTCTGGGAAGTGTGGTTTTCTCAGAGCGCAGCGCGCTGCAGATTTGCATAAATCCCGGCGGATCGGGTCACCCGCCGCGCGCCCGCGGATCGAACTCGAGAGCTGAGCTGCTTGCGGCGAATCGCTGAAGAACGTTCCCCGCAGGAGTTCGGTGCTCACGTCGCTCTTTTCCTTCCCAGCGGCAGAGTTCGGGGAGCCGGCTTCCGAGCAGACGGGGGCAGCTGCGGGGACAACTGTGGCCCAGCCCGCGGCCCCCGCGTCCTGGAAGCCCCAGGATTCTTCGGAGCAGCCACAGGAGAGGCTCTGCAAGAATCCGTGTGCCATGTTCGCTGCCGGAGAGATCAAGACGCCGACGGGGGAGGGCCTTGCCGACTCACCCAGCAAAACCATGTCTATTAAAGAAAGGTAATGAGACTCGGGGAGCGGAAAGTGAATCCCTCGGGAGGAGCTCACAGCATCTGGGTGGCGGGCAAAGGGAAGAAATCACACGCTCAGATTCTAATGGCCTGGGCTCTTGTCCCGGAGTAATTCCGAGAAGCCGGGGTGTTTGTAAGTGACCTGCCTTTGCTCCTGAGCCTGGTTTGGTAATGACGACAGGGCGGGTTCCAGGCTGATGAGAAAACAAACAGAAACAGATTTCTGCTTTATTTGTATGTTTCCATTGTCCCAATGTCTTTTATGTAATATTTAAATTATTGGCTTATCTAGTGACAGGAGCTGAGATCTTGGCTCTTTCCCTTTTAGATACACAGGGTTCATACTGAATGCACAAACCACTTAATGACTTTGTGTAAAATATGTGTAGAGGGAATGATGGTAAATTGACCTACAGGGCATACATCTTTGGGCTTAGAATCCAACTTTTGTTTCCTTTACAGAAAATAAAATGGATGACTTTTCTGAACTGCATTTAGAAATTTTATGTCACGTAATAGCTTGAAAGATTGCGTTTGAGCATCAAATAAGACAGTAGCCTCATTTCTTGCAAAGAGTGGCACAGGGTGCAGAAGAACATAGTTTAAATGAGACAGATACAGAGAATTGGAAGTAAATTACCTTGGGGATGTGTTTTCCTGGTTAACCTTTAACTACAGACGAATTAAGCACCAAAACATGCAATAGTGGTAATAAATGCAGAGTTTTTGATAGCAGAGTAGGGTGACTAGATAAAAATGTATTGGACTCAGGTGATAGACATCCTAAATACAGGCTTGATCGCTGTGCATTACATATGGGTAACAAAATTTCTCATGCACCACACCACATAAATTTGTACAAAAAAGGAGAAAGTCTTCAATAGGAAAAAAAAAAAAAAAAAAAAAAAAAAAAAAAACATGATGGAATAGTGATAGGAAAACTGAGTGAAGAAAAGTCTTGTCAACTCCAGAGAATAATTAGGAGAACCATTTCCCCATCGCCTGTCCCCGCAGTACTGACAGCTTCCACCCTTCCTCAGAAGCTGCCACCACACAGAAGCCTGCATGCTTTGTTAGGCACTGACCACGCTTATTTTTCTAGATCTGTTTCAAACTGCCTGAGACGATATCAAACCACAATGAAAAGTCTTCTATTTTTTTTTTCTTTCTTTTTCCTTTTTTTTTTTTTTTTTTTTTTTTGAGACACAGTCTCACTCTGTCACCCAGGCTGGAGTGCAGTGGTGCAATCTCTGCTCACTGCAAGCTCCACCTCCTGGGTTCAAGGGATTCTTCTGCCTCAGCCTCCCGAGTAGCTGGAATGACAGACGCGTGCCACCATGCCTGGCTAATTTTTTGCATTTTTAGTAGAGATGGGTTTTCACTGTGTTAGCCAGGATGATCTCCATCTCCTGATCTCGTGATCTGCCCGCTTCGGCCTCCCAAAGTGCTGGGATTACAGGCGTGAGCCACCACACCCGGCCCCTTCTTTCTCTGTCTCTCTCTTTTTTTTTCCCCCAGAGGCATAGTCTTCCTCTGTTCCCCAGGCTAGAGGGCAGTGGTGCTATCACAGCTCACTGCAGCCTCGAACTCCTGGGCTCAAGTGAGCCTCCTGTCTTAGCCTCCCCAGTAGCTGGGACTACAGGCACGTACCACCATGCCTGGCTGATTTTTTCAAAAAGATTTTTTGTAGAGTTGGAAGGTCTCACCATGTTGCCCAGGCTGATCTCGAACTCCTGGCCTCAGGTAGTTCTCCTACCTCAGCCTTCCAAAGTACAGGGATTACAGATGTGCACCACCATGCCTGGACCTTCTTTCTAGTTTTAAGCTGAGCTTCTTGAATATTATTTGTAAAATAATAGATGGCATCTTTTTCAACTGACGATAAGATTATTAAATCTGAGTTCATGATAAGTGAGACCTGGTAGGCGGAGGGGCAGAGGGAGGGCAGAGGGCTCAGTGCAGTGAGGAGAGGGATGTCTTCAACCGGAGAAGCAGTTGGGCCTATTGAGGTTTGAAGTTCTCTTCCATGAAAGCAGGGCTCAAAGAGAGTTTCATCCTAGAAATCCAAGTACTGATTACTGGTTAGGTGAGAAGGAAGAGAAATCATTTAAGGAAATTAACAATCAATATCAGTTAAGCACAAGTTCTGATGTTTTATACATGAGGAAATATCCCTGGGGTATTCCCCAGTGGGAAATCCTCATATCATGCCCCCTTCTTTCAAAGGCTTTTAAAGGATCCTCCCCATCTTTGGGCATTTTCCGTCAGTGGGGACTCAGGACTTCTGATGGAGGAGCCCTGTGTCTGTCCACTAAGCCATAATTCCTGGTGTACTTGCCTGTTTATTGGTCAATTTTAGTTGATCTGTATCTTTCTGAAAGTTTTAATCCTATGAAATTTTCATTTTTAAACTGAGACATGGGAAGCTGCAGCTTCTTAGCTTGGCCTTTGTGGACATCGAAGGCCTTCAAGGATGGCTGGCAAGCGTCTGTGACCGGCGTGGAAGTGTGTTGAGAACTGGATGTGTGAGAGCTCACCTGCTGGCCGGCAGAGGCCACAACTTACCGTGGTCGCCAGGAGATCCCTTAGCCGGGTCTATTCAGAATCATGGTAGAAAGGAACGCTTGATGGATATTCAGCTATTCAGTTTGTTAAAATACGTTTCAGAAAGGACAAAGGGCGGGGTGCGGTGGGTCACGCCTGTAATCCCAGCACTTTGGGAGGACGAAGCGGGTGGATCATGAGGTCAAAAGATCGAGACCATCCTGGCCGACATGGTGAAACCCCATCTCTACTAAAAAATACAAAAATTAGCTGGGTGTGGTGGTGGTCGCCTATAGTCCCAGCTACTCAGGAGGCTGAGGCAGGAGAATTGCTTGAACCCGGGAGGCAGAGGTTGCAGTGAGCCGAGATCGCACCACTGCACTCCAAAAAAAAAAAAAAAGAAAGAAAGAAAGGATGAGGGACACTATTTAACAGCTATGTCTGTAATAAATTAACACAAAATACATTACCAGCGATCTTTCCCCTTACCTTGACGGCACTTTTATTTGTACTTTGCTGAAAATAACTAAATTACATATATTTACAATTCATTCGTGATCGCTTTGCCCTAAATGAGACTTTAATCCTTCACTTTTGTGAAAGTGGAATAATGAAGCTTAAACTAATTAAAATAAGAATGTTTTTCCTTATTCCCATATTTATTTGGGCTTTACTTGCTTTCTTGAGAAAGAAATATATAAAATCATAGGACTTCCAAACCTTATTCTAACTGCCTCTGACTGCCTCGTTTTACCAAAGGAGGAATTTAGCTCTGGGAGTCTCCAGGACCAGGTAGTGAATAGAACTGACCCAGGGGCCACATCTCCAACTCTCCCCTGGTTCATGGTGAGACCAGGGTAGGCTCAGATTAGTGTTAGGGCAGCCAACTTCGTGTCTTCTAACCAGGAGAATACGGTAAGGACAGAAATTCCAGCTAGAAGGCAGCGTTAGAAAGACATACCATCTTTCTTCATGAATTTTCTCAGTTCACATGTTCCTAACATGGCTTATTTCAAATTACACATCCACGTTCACATTTCAGCATCTAAGAAATAGAGCCTGGGATTTACAGATTTCCTTCGTGTTTTTTTTATAAATGGCTGTGCCCGCAAAGGAGGGCGGGTCTGTCTTCAGTCTTGCTGTGTCCGTCTCTCCCCTGTCTGGGGCCTAAATACATTGAGTTCTCCATGCTCAATGCTAATCAGAGTCACAGACGGCCTTCTGCATTTTGGGCACGATACCTCATTTAATTTTTATTTTTATTTTTATTTTTTGAGACAGGGTCTCACTCTGTCGCTCAGGCTGAAGTGCAGAGGCAGGATCTTGGCTCACTGTAACCTCCGTCTCCCAGGTTCAAGGGATTCTCCTGCCTCAGCCTCCTGAATAGCTGGGATTACAGACGCCTACCACCATGCCCAGCTAATTTTTGTATTTTTAGTAGAGACAGGGTTTTGCTGTGTTGGCCAGGCTGGTCTCGAACACCTGAACTCGGGTGATCTGCCTGTCTCAGCCTCCCAAAGTGCTGGGAGTAGGCGTGAGCCACTGCGCCCAACCTAAAAAGTTATTTATTTATTTATTTATTTATCACCTGACCTTAGTTGATCTTCCCACCTCGGCCTCCCAAAGCACTGGGATTACAGGTGAGAGCCACCGTACACAACCCTTTTTTAAAAAAATATTTTCTGACATTGAGAATGTCAAATTGGAACCATAACCAGCATAACATTTAGGATGCAGTTGACTTTTCCCACTGGATTAGGAAAATTGCTATTTTCTAACTGTCCACATGATGTGTGTTTAAATTGTCCCTGTTTGGGAACTTGTTTGAGAGGCATTGTGAATTAAATAATTCTTACGTTATTTAGGGATAAAACCTTTGCTATTGCTTAAAGTGTACCTTAGGCCTTTAGAAATCTTATTTATTTCCACAACGTCAGAAACAGTGGCATCTGAGCTTTCATATTTGGGGAAGAAGACTATTGGAAAAGAAAAACAGAGCCATCCTTCACTTTGAGAAACTGGTGGCATGTAAGGACTCAGTGGAACTCCCTGAACTGCTGCAGAATCCACCGCCTCTGTGGAGTTCTGCCCTGGGGCACTGGCTGGAGGCTCCTGTGTTTCCTGCGTGCCTGCCCTGCCCCCAGCATCCACCCTTCAATGATCCTCCCACTTCAGGCTCCCAAGGAGCTGGGACTAGAGGCACACACCACCATGCTCAGCTGACTTTTTACTTTTACTTTTTATTTTTTTGTAGAGACAGAATCTTGCTCTGTGGCCCAGGCTGGTCTCCACCTCCTGGCCTCAAGCAGTCCTCCCACCTCAGCCTCCCAAGGTGCTGAGATGACAGGTGTGACCCAGTATGCCTGGACCTCCTCTTCCAGTGTTTGATTTGTCTCTCATTTAACATACACTTTGGTTCATTCACTTCTCCAACTTGTGAACCAGCCAGGACCAAGATGTAATATAAGTTATTTATGTGTGCATTTCAGCCCTATTTGAGATCTATGAGGTGCCTGTAATTCTCTAAAAGGAAGGGAGAATTCTAAAAAGAAAGAGAGAGAAAGCACACCTTATTTAGTGTTAGGAGCACATGTCATGCCTCCTGTTTGACCCAACCCGGGCCGCTCTGAGCCTGAAGTCCGTGTTCCCAGCAAGTAGGGCTCTCAGGCCAGCATTCCCTGCGGAATCGTGTGGGCTGTGGAAGGGGAGGAGCCGCTCCCCGGGAGGCCTGGCAGGCACCTGTCATGGTGGCCCTGGGCCAGGCTTCGGTGACTAAGCCAGTGTCGTGCGCCTCCCTGGGTTCACGCAGCCCCAGGCCAAGCCGCTGCCCAGGCTCCCAGCACCACAGTCCTGCAAACAGCACTTGGACTTGGCAGTTGTGAAAAGCGCTGACAGTTGTTTGAATTGCACCAGCAGGAATTTATGTCCTGCATAGACCCAGACATCGGCTCCTCGACCCTCTCAGAGCCTGGCAGTCTGCGGTGAGTGGGAGCACCGTGAGCTCACAGGAGGAAGGAACATGTTTCCCCAAACATGTTCTCCCGCCCTCTTCAGCATGGGGGACACCAACGAGGAAGTCTAAAGGGACAGGAAGAACACATTCAAGTTCTAGTGCATGTTACGTTCAAGTTACTCATCATGCACTCGGAGGCTGTGGGCTCAGGCTGGCTGCAAGGGCCACATGGGCTCCACGGAAGCTCAGTCTCTTCCACGTTATTGTGGTTGCGCTGTCGTCTTTGGGAATCCCTAATGGTGACCCTGCTGGCACATGTAGAAGCAGAATTTCAGGGTTTGGAATGGAGGAATTCTTTGGCGGCCATCCATGGTGGGAAACACCTTCTAAGAAAGCCGGAATCCTACGCGCTTCCTGAAACGGTATGGCAGAAATGTGTCTGGCCAGCTAATGTTCTGCCGCAGCGAAACAGGCTAAGCACAGGCAGGCAAGGGTTGTGGTCACGTCTCTCTGCCCACTACCATCCAGCGTGACCTCAGTCAGTGGAATTCCTGACCCGGATATGCTCATGCCCTTGTCCATCAGAAATGAGAATAACAATTTCCAGTACATTAGGGGTCGCCGTGCAGATCAGCAGAGTTTAAGGTGGACGAGGCGGTGACCTCCGATGCCACAGCTCATGTTTTTCTAAGTCAGTTTTAGATGCCGCAAAGCCACCACCAGGGAAATCATCGATGATGCAGTTGCTGGTGTCCTTTGAGAACTTCGTTTCGAGAAGGTCTTCAAAGACTGGAGCTCGTGACTTTCAATAAACTCAACTCATGAAGATGAATTTGATTTTTTAAAAATTCATCATTTGAATCCAATCCGATTAACAAGGTGGATGGTCAAGAGGAGTAACTGCTGGTCGGGGTCGACGGTGAAGTGAGTGAAGCTGGTTCTGAGGCCAGTGTGCAAGGAGAGGATCAGTGAGATGAGTGCCTGGCTCCACAGGACGAGGAACTGGAAAGAAGTCTTCACCTGGGGATTAAAGTGCTGGCATGCTTACTTTCTGAAAGTCTCATTCATTGATGCTTTGAAAGCTCAAATGCAGCATGCAAATATGAATTTCTTTTAATGATTTTATTTTGTGAGATTCTTTCATTAGAATAAAACTGACTCATTCAAAATAACTGGAGAAAAGATGAGTCATAGTCATTATATGTGGTATAAAATGATGCGAATTAAAACACTTAAAGGAATCTAGATTTCGTGTCCCAGCCCATGAACTAGCCCTTGTAGCATGCAGGGTGCTGTTAAACATTCAGGAATTTCAGGAGTTAGGACCACATGAGACCTTGACCCAAATGGGCTCTGCATGAAACAGATAGGCAGCCTCGCCACGGTTCTCGAGAATGCGCACGTGAGGTCTTATCTGCTGCCCCTTAGTAGGAGGAAAAGAGACTGAGGAAGGGGACAGGTCCAGAGCTCGAAGCTCCGGCCTCTTTTTCTTCATGGCTTACTTTCCGTTATTTGACTGAGTAAACAGACAAGTACGGCATAATTGTGTCCACATATGTCGATGTCCCTGGATTCTTGTTTAAGTTCTACAAAATTTGTTTTCTTATTAGCGTAACAAAACTTTTATCATAGGATATATCTCCTCTCATCTCCAAAACAACTATTGAATGGGAATAGGAAAGCTTGGAAGAAGGGCCCTTAGAGATCATCTGGTCCAGTTCCTCACGTGACAGATACGGGAGGGAAAACCGAGGTACTCAAAGGGAGCTGCTGGCCAAACTGGGACCAGGGCTGCTGTGCTGCTTAAAAATACACTGTTGTCTAGGTGCGGTGGCTCACGCCTGTCATCCCAGTACTTTGGGAGGCCGAGGCAGGGGGTCACTTGAAGCCAGGAGTTCAAAACTAGCTTGGGCAGTATAGCAAGACCCTGTCTCTACCAAATAAAAATTTTTTAAATTAACCAGGCACAGTGATGCACACCTGCAGTCCTAGCTACTCTGGAGCCTGAGGCGGGAGAGTCACTTGAGCCCAGGAACCCGAGGCTGCAGTGAGCCATGATTGTGCCACTGCACTCCAGCCTGGTGACAAAGGAAGACCTTGACTCTAAAACAGATTTATAAAAATAAAAAATACAGGCTGGGCACGGTGGCTCACACCTGTAATCCTAGCACTTTGGGAGGCCAAGGCACGTGGATCACGAGGTCAGGAGTTCGAGATGAGCCTGGCCAATATGGCAAAACCCTGTCTCTACTAAAAATACAAAAAAATAGCCGGGCATGGTAGCATGTGCCTGTAGTCCCAGATAATTGGGAGGCTGAGGCAGAAGAATTGCCTGAACCCAGGAGGTGGAGATTGCAGTGAGCCAAGATCGTGCCACTGCACTCTAGCCTGGGCAACAGAGTGCGACTCTGTCTCAAAAATAAAAATAAAATAAAAAATGCACATTTATGGATTATGCATTAGTGATATTTAGAAGACCTGGCCCATCAGGTCCAGCACAGAGGGAAAGGGCTCTAGACATTTGTTTTTACCCTCATCTTTAAATTATTTGAGCATCAGCTCAGATGAATCTAATGATCACCGCCTTTTTTTTTTTACCTTTGATCTTTTCCATGTTTGTTTGTCCAATGCAAATGCCTAAGATTTCTTCAATCATGTCAATACAGTTAGCCAAAACAGCCTCACATTTGTGAAAAATAACCTTTCAGCAACCCAGTGTTCAAGCAGCTTCCTATCAAGTCACATGGCATTGAACTAAAGTAGGTTAGGTAACAACCTCAGTTAATTAGATCCTTTTTTGGTGTATATCATTCCCTGAGGAAAGTTAAAGTGATAATTTTTTTTAAAATGGGTTTTTAGAAAATAGTTTCTGTCTAAAGAAGACAGATAAGAAAGATAATATTCATTTATAGGAAAAGAGCAGGGCTTAGAATGCCTGAGGAGAAACAGTCGCAAACATCAAATTTTACCTCTAATTGAAAGGGGTGATACTAAGAGATGGTGGGAGCTTCACGGTTTCTGTTTTAAGCCCACGTCTTCATTATTCTCTGTAACACAGCTTTAGTCCTTTAATGTTATTTCGCCGAGTGACCAGAAGGCGTCGCTAGAAGACATTTTTCTCTGGGGACGGTTCTCTTGCTCTCAGCCCCCAAACGGGTAAAACAGACATTCCGTGGCTGGGATGATGGGGCATCTTTTATCTAGCAAGTCAGACTTCGGCTCTGTGTTTCAATCAGCTGTAAAATCTTCGGGGCCATCTTAGAGAAGGGACTTTATTATTTTCCCAGACATGCTGTCTTCAGAATACATGAAATTCGAAAAGTTAAAATGAGGTGGCTGTGGTCACGTCTCGGCCAAAGGCGTCTCACTGACTGAGATTATGGCTCTCTCACGAGGAAGAGCTTGGTGCTGAACTCTCTGTGGCTGGCATGTTTCCCTCCTAGATTGGCACTGTTGAAGAAGAGCGGGGAGGAAGACTGGAGAAACAGACTCAGCAGGAGGCAGGAGGGCGGGAAGGCGCCGGCCAGCAGCCTGCACACCCAGGAAGCGGGGCGGTCCCTCATCAAGAAGGTAACGTTGCCCATGTTAGGGAAGCATCTGGACTAACGTCACTCCTGGAAGTGCATCAGAGAGACACGCATGTGCCACCTAATTCCTGCTCTGTGAAGCATTTGTGCGTTTTTGCACTGAGGATACACACTGAGGGTCTGTCACAGAGCACCTGAAAGTGGGCAGGGGGCTGAGCCTTGAGATGCTTTAGAACTGGGGTCAGTGCCACATACACACGGTGTCAGCAAGCAAGTGCCTGAAGGTTAAAGTATGTACTTTTTCTTCAGTTTAAACCCCTTCTTAAATGAAGTCTGGCTTTAGAACATTATTAAAGCCTTTGTAATGAAAAAAATGGAATTCACCACTAATATCTTTAAGTTGCATGTAAAATGTGGACTTGGGTTTCCTATGCAGAGATTTTTAATCCTAAGTATAAAAAGTACGGACATAATTGTGGTTCATGGGTATTTAGTTCATCATTTTAAGCGTGTTTCACGAGTAGCTATGCCTTTTATTGAGAATGTACAGTGCTGTATGTTATAAATTGAAACAAGATTAAGTAATGCGTGGTGATCCATGCGAGCAAGCATCTCGTGTGCGTAAGTATTGATGAGCTGTTAAACTACAGATGCGATGATGGCCGGCTTTTGACAGGCGGTGCGCACTGTCCTAACTGACGGCGCTTACTTGTTGGCTGGCCCTACAGTTGCGAATGCCCCTCCTGGCTGGAGGCGAAATGGTGCAGCAGTGACGTGCTCCCTGGCCACTTTCTAGGCCCAGAAGTCTTCAAGTAGGAAAGAAAAACAGTGCTTTCAACCAGCTGATCCCCAGGCCCCCGTTAGCTCGAAAATAAGTTAAGCATCGGTGGAAGGACGAGATGATGAGCGTGACTTTCACGCATTAAGAAACTGATATACAAATGCGGTGTGCTCATAAAGTGTGAGTCAGGAGTTCTGGCGCTATTGCATCTGATACTTCTGTGTCTTCATAGGTTACATTGGAATGGCAATTTGAATTTTCTCCTTTGAGACATATATGATGTTAAAGATGATATAACTAAAGACATTTAACCTCAGCCATTTGTAAAGTTCTCAAATACAACTAGAAAGTATGTGCATATTTTTCACCCACCATGTGAAACTCACATTTCAAAAAGGAGATCCTGAAGTAAAAGAAAACTGCATCTGTGAAATAATGTATCCCCACCCCCCACAAACTTTATTTAAGAGTCTTGAAATCATTGCTTCAAAAACGACTTTAACACGTTCCCCATAAGCAAACCTGCCGACTACTATGTCCTGGCACTAAGCAGCACCTGGCCCCTGGGCCATCATTTTGGAAGGTGCAGAGACTCCCCCGCCCGTCAAGAGCTGGGAGTCCCAGAGAGCCAGGTGGAAATTTAAATGAAGCCGAAAAGCACAAAGCAGGAGAGGTTCCTGGTGAATAGGAACAGACTATTCACCTATTCAGACTATTCAAATGGGTGCGCCACCCACTTAAAAGAACGGAGGGTCACCTTAGGTGTGAAAGCCAGAAGGCTTTGAGTGGAGGATGAGAGCTCAGCCGCCTGAGCACTGGCTAAGGCTTTTAGAAGGCAAGAGATGCCAGTTGTCCGCAGCTGCCTCTGGGGTAGAAAACCCAGTGACCTGAAGACTGGGGCTTCCACCTGGGATGGGGCTGGAATGAAGTGCTGCCTCGGGACCCATGGAGGCTGCTGTTTCTGCAGCAACAGGGAACCTCCCACTCTTCCTCAGTGGCCTGGTTGCCTTGGCTGGAGACAATGAGCTCTTTGAAGTTAAAATAAGAAGGTCTATTTTAGGCCTCTGTAGCCCACACTGGGCAATCTCAGGTTCTGCTGAGGTCAGGTGTTTCTCAGGCGGCCTCTGGCACCCCCTGGTTCGTTCCTTCCTGAGGACTGGCAGTGTTTTCAGTCACCCGCTGGCTGTGCTCAAATGTGGTCGGTGAGGCACCTTTGACCTGGTCTGTCTTAAGGGAGTCCCCAAATAGCTGAGAGGCTGCCACACCCACTGCTTGCAGGTGTCCGAGTGCTGCCTTGGAGAAGGACAGACAGTCATGACACGTGGGGCCTGAACATGGGCGCTTGCTGCAGGGAGTAGCTCTTGCCTTGCTGATGGAGAGGGACCCAGGAGAGCAGGTGCTGGAACCTTCCATCTTCAGCACCAAGGGCAGAAAGCAGCCATGTATGGTCAGCTCATCACGCCCTTCGCAGTTGCTGTATTCCTGTTGTGTGCTGAGAGCCTGCTGCCGTGAGTGTGCGTGTGTGGGAACGCGGAAGGGGCAGGAAAGAGAGGGGACTCCACGTTCCCGCCATTGCACCCACGAGACTACATGCAGGGTGGCAGTCAGCACTGTCCTATAAAAATAGAATGTGTGCCACATAGGTCATTTTGAAATTTTCTCAGAGTCACATTAAAAAATACATTAAAGGCCAGGCGTGGTGGCTCATATCTGTAATCCCAGCACTTTGGGAGGCTGAGGCAGGGGGATCATGGGGTCAGGAGATCAAGACCATCCTGCCTAACAGGGTGAAACCCCATCTCTACTACAAATACAAAGATTAGCTGGGCGCGGTGGCAGGCGCCTGTAATCCCAGCTACTCAGGAGGCTGAGGCAGGAGAATCATTTGAACCCAGGTGGCAGAAGTTGCAGTGAGCCGAGATCGTGCCACTGTACTGCAGCCTGGGAACAGAGGGAGACTCCGTCTCAAAAAAAAAAATAATACATTAAAGGATGCCTTGAAAAATCTATACCTGTTTTATCTCTGTCAGTGGATTAGTCTCAAAAGAAAACATATTTGAGGTGCCCCAGCCAGCATCTCATTTTCCGTCTTTTATGTAAAGATTTACTTTGGGGCCAAGCACCGTGGCCATGCCTGGAATCCTAACACTGGGAGGCGGAGGCAAGAGGATCACTTGATCCCAGGAGTTCGAGACCAGCCTGGGGAACATAGTAAAACCCCATGTTTACCCTACAAAAATTAGCCAGGTGTGCACATGTGGTCCCAGCCACTTGGGAGGCTGATGCAGGAGGATCGCTTGAGCCCCAGAAGTTGAGGCTGCAGTGAGCAATATTTGTGTCACTACACTGCAGTCCAGGTGACAAAGCAAGGCCCTGTCTCAAACAAAAACAAAATTCAGGGGCCCATGAATAGATACTAAGCTAGAGTTTTCATTTCTGTACTAAAAGTTCTAGCACATCTCAGAAAATGGAAGACTCACCAGCGATTCCTTCTTTCCCCATTTCACTCCCAAAAATGAAGACTGATGAACTAGAGCTAACGAGCACTAATTGTTTACGTGGCTGTCTCTGTCATTTCCCGTGAAAAACTGTGGGTATTCTCTTTCTCTTCCCCACTTTTCTTTCTTTCTCTTCCTTGCTTCCCTTCGTATCTTTCTCCTGTTCTTGGTTTAGTCTGCACCAGGCTAACCTGACTGAAACATGGGTTCCTCTCGTAGCGTATTATACTTAGTCTAAAGGTGTTCAGCTGTTTGGCTTGTGGATTTGGCCTGTTCTGCACCGTGTGGTTTGTGTGCACTTGAGCATGGCTTGTGTACAGTTTCCTCCAGAGCCACCCATTCCACCAGAGAGACAGAAATGAAATGAAGCAAAGTCTCAAGGAAGTGGGTGGGCAGGAGTCTGTTACAATTAACTTTCAGTTATGTATTTGTTTTCACCAAATAATCATTTTTCATTCCAACCCCATTTCGGCTTATTCGACTTTCAGGCATACACGGTGACTCCCTGTCTGTTGTGAAGGTAGTCATCCAGCAAATCAGACCTTTTCCAAGAAGTGAAAACCCTTCCTAGACTTGTGCATTAAAAGCCTGTGTGTGTTTCTGAGTTCCAGGTGGGAACTGGATATCCGACTGTGCTGTGAGGTCAGTGTCTCCAGCTCAGATCTATGACAGCCCCAGAGACAGTGCCTGAAATTTCAAGAAAAGTGAATCTGGCACATCCATATTCTCAGTATCTGCTGTCATTGAAATTCCAGATCACAATCCAGGAGAATTTAGAGAATGAAGTCACTTTAGAGGTTGGGAGGGAGAGACAGGCTGAGGGAACACCCTCTAAACTCCAGATGGTGATTCTGCAGTGAGGGAATGAGGTGGCCTGAGGTTCAGTCACTGCCTGGTGTGCGCGCACGCATGCTGCCTTTGAACCCGGCACAAAGTCCTTCCCGGTGATTGCGACGCCCTGACGAGGCTCTTTCCTTCCAACGCCCTGCAATGTTTCCTGTTTGTTTCAACCTGTAGGAAGAAGGAGGAGGTGCAGATGATAACGCCATTTCTAACCTGCTTTGGGTAAGCCCGACTCTAACACAGGTGTCCTCTAGTGGTGGCCGGAGTCACGCCTCGCATGGGTGATTCTCCTCCTGGGTGGCTCCTTCGGGCACCCTCCCTGTGCTTGATCTCCAGACCAGACGCAGCCTTTGTCTGCAGTGGAGAGCTGAGCCCGTGCCCTTAAATTATCCTTTTTTAATCATGCAATGAGAATGCTTTAAAGAAGATGATATTTTCAGGGCCGGGCGCGGTGGCTCAATCCTGTAATCCTAGCACTTTGGGAGGCCAGGGCGGGTGGATCACGAGGTCAAGAGATCGAGACCATCCTGGTCAACATGGTGAAACCCCGTCTCTACTAAAAATACAAAAAAAAATTAGCTGGGCATGGTGGTGCATGTCTGTAATCCCAGCTACTCAGGAGGCTGAGGCAGGAGAATTGCCTGAACCCAGGAGGCGGAGGTTGCGGTGAGCTGAGATCGCGCCATTGCACTCCAGCCTGGGTAACAAGAGTGAAACTCCGTCTCAAAAAAAAAAAAAAAAAAAAAAGAAGATGATATTTTCTGTTAAATGTTAAAACTGTCAGTGAAAGTCATGGTTGCCTCTCTGCAACTGACAATCTTCTATAAATTAACTCATTTCATTACTGCACAAAGCTGACTCAGGTACAGTTATCTCGAGTGTGTGGATTTATTTTAGCATTAGCATTCAAGGGAGGACTCTCTTAAAAAACTGAAATTGCAGCCAGTAAATTAACATTCTGTTAGAAAAATCATTGTTTTGTCTCTCCCTCCCCCACGTCCCTGCCCGGCCCCGCTCTCATAAATCTTCTCTTTTCACCTTTAATCCTCTTGCTCTGCTCTGTAGGAACCTGTACATGCTTCTACTTATTCTCCTGCTATTCCTGCTGCCCATAAACACCTGTGTTTTGTGTCAATTAATCAGGTGAGGAAAAGCCACTCATCTTAAGCCTCAATGCAATTTCTGAGCAGCAGGGGAAGAACTTCTGTTTAATTTGGGGGAATAACTTATTTGCTGCATTTCACTGTGAGAGAGAGGAGTGTATGTGTGTGTGTGGGTAAAACTGTGTGTGTCCATGAGAATGTGTATGCATCTATGAGTGTGTTTCTGATTGTGTATCTGTAAGAGCGTCTGTATGAGTGTGTATCTATGAGAGTGCATGTGTGTGTTTGTGTCTGTATGTGTGTATGAGTGCATTTCTGGGTGTGTATCTGTGAGAGTGTGTGTCTGTATGTGTGTGGGTATCTGTAAGAGTGTGTGTGTGTACATATGTGTGTGTTTAATTGGTTCTTCATATATTTAGGGTCAGTCACACACACACTGATCCTTGTGCAGATTTTCAGATGGGCTTGGTGGTATTAATTCACCTCATAGTCATGAAACTGGTTTAAGAGGAGAGTGTCCCCCTCAGCCTCTACGCTTTCCATCCCGAGTCAGGAGCCCAGGAGATGTGCCAGTGTTCTTGGCTCCGGCTCAGTCAGGCTGTTGTCCTGCTCAGTTCACAGAGGAGGAGGATATGGTGGAGGACGTTTGGGGTGTGGAGGGACAGGGAGACTCAGCGAGGGGAGGCCCCTCCAGTGGCCACACTAAGGCACCAGGAGGAGCTGGTTCCAATGGCCCTATTAAAACGAGAGAGCACAGCCCCTCCTGCTTCCCTCCATCCTCACTGTAGCCGCCCTGAACCCCATGCTGGAGGGCAGACCAGGCTGAGCCACTCTGCCGGTGAACACATGCAAAATAGGAATGGCTGGTTTTTATTTCCTTGTTTCCCTGCCTGAAGATCCCATTCTCCGTCTCTTCGTCACTCTCACTGCCAGTCCTTGGCAACCTCCATTTTTTTACTGTCTCATAGTTTTGCCTTTTCCAGAATATCAGAGTTGGAATCATACAGGATGTCGCCTTTTCACATTGGCTTCTTTCATTTATGCATTTAAGATTCCTCTGTGTCTTTTAAAATTATTATTATTATTATTATTATTATTATTATTATTATTATTGAGATGGAGTCTTACTGTGTCACCTAGGCTGGAGTGCAGTGACACAATCTTGGCTCACTGCAACCCCTGCCTCCCCGGTTCAAGCAATTATCCTGCCTCAGCCTCCTGAGTAGCTGGGATTACAAGCTTTTTTTTTTTTTTTTTTTTTTTTTTTTGTATTTTTAGTAGAGATGGGGTTTCACCATGTTGGCCAGGCTAGTCTTGAACTCCTGACCTCAAGTTATCTGCCCACTTCAGCCTCCCAAAGTGTTGAGATTACAGGCGTGAGCCTCTTCCATGTTTTTTTATGGCTCGAAAGCCTTTTTCTTTGTAGTGCTGAATAACATTTCCGTATCTGAATGTGCCACAGTTTCTTCATCTGCTTGAGGACAGCGTGGTTGCTCCCACGTCTTGGCAATTATGAAAAAAGTGCTATAAGCATCTATATGCAGGCTTTTGTTTAGACATAAGTTTTCAACTCAATTGAGTATCAAGGAGCATGACTACCGTATGACATAATAAGAGTACGTTTAGTTTTGTAAGAGACCTCCAAACTGTCTTAAAAAGTGGGTGTACCATTTTGCATTTCCATCAGCCCTCTCTCTCTCTGCGTCTCTCCACTACATTCGTGGGCTCTATCTTTCAAAGAATGGAGGACAGATGGGGTAGGTTTCTGTTCCGATTCTTCCCCAACTCTTACTATCCCAGCCAATCCTAGGCATTTGGCAGCTAAACCAGGGATAATGACACAATACTTACTACTGTATATATTTTCCCACCCCAACCAGGTGCCGGCAGTTTGGAAACATTGTGCTCCTCTGCTTTTCAGTATCCCGTTGTGTATTTCCTAAAGTCCAAGATATTTCCTCCCATAGCCACCAGACGGTGGTCAAGATGAGGAAGTTAATATTGATACAAAGTTTATCTAATCCACATCCACCTGAAAAGTGTGTCAGTTTCCTCCAATAATGCCCTTTGTAGCTTGCAGCCCCCACTCCATCTAGGATTCAAGCCAGGATCGTGCATTGCCTTTGGTTACCATCTGTCTTCAGGAAAGGGTTTTCATGTAATTTAAATTGGCAGAGACCTCAACATCACTTCTGGCTAGGAGGGCTTTATAGAAGAATCCTGTAAAAGAAAGATTCCTCACTTAGATGCCGGAGAAGTCCACGTTCATAGCTTAAACCAATGGTCCCAGTGCAGACCTGGTTTTGTGCTGCCGGAAGGGAAGGGAAGGCCCCTTTCCTCTGTCAACCCCCATCATTCGGGGCGTTAAGAAAATGAACGGGGCCGGCCTCCACCCTCTTCCTGCCGCTCCTGAATCAGGAAGTTCCCTCCCGTGGGGCAGGGCAGGGAAGTGGTGGCCAATGGGGTGGAAAGGCCTGGGGAAGAGTCTCTGGGATGGCTTCGCCCGGGGCTCTCCGAGTCCTCCCTGTGTCAGTGCGAGGCCTTAGGATCACGCCGATCCACGGTGACGCCTTAGCCGAGGAAGACGCCTTAGGAAGGCCGAGAAACTGGGCACCTGCGGGAGAAGGTGCGGGTGCTCAGATGTGGTTTGAAAGCGGATGCGCCAGGCCGGGCGCGGTGGCTCAGGCCTGTAACCCCAGCACTTTGGGAGGCCGAGGCGGGCGGATCACGAGGTCAAGAGATTGAGACGATCCTGGCCAACATGGTGAAACCCCGTCTCTACGAAAAATACGAAAATCAGGCGGGCGTGGTGGTGAGCACCTGCAGTCCCAGCTACTCGGGAGGCTGAAGCAGGAGAGTCGCTTGAACCCGGGAGGCGGAGGCTGCAGTGAGCCGAGATCGTGCTACTGCACTCCAGCCTGGCGACAGAGCGAGACTCTAAGACAGAAAAGAAAGAAGAAAGATAGAAAGAAGGAAGGAGGGAGGGAGGAAGGAAGGAAGGAGAGAAAAACTGGATGTGCAAGCAGCAGGGGCCTTCCTCGGGGACAGCCACAGGGCAGGGCCCTGAGCCGCGGCCACCCCCAGAACCCCTCCCAGAGGAGCCCCGGGACGACAGCCAGGGAGGCGCCTCCTGCTTGGGAGGGGACACCTGTCCGCCCTTCCTTACTGGCGTTAGCTCTGCAGCTCCTGTGCTTCGTGCCTCACCACAGACAGGGGTCTTGGGGTGCAGGGAGGGGTGGCTTGAAGGCGGAGGGGAAGGGGACTCTGCCGCCAGCAGGTGAGGACCTCCTGCCCCGGTGCCGCTCTCGACCACCACCCACACTCTCCTCCCGGCCCACGCCGCCAGTGCCTCGTCCTCTGCCTCCATCCCTGCCCCTCCCTCCCTCCTCAGCCCCGTCTCCCCATCCCAGACCTGTCCTCTGCCCCGCTCCCCATCCCAGGCCTGTCCTGAGCCCCTGCTCCTTTCCCGAGGCCCCTGAGGCCCCTGTAGCTTCTTCCCCTTCCCCTCCTCCACATCCCCAACCGCAAGTGTCACCAATGGCTTGGACATGAAGAGCAGGTATCCCCAGAACACCAGTTAGAAACTGTCGAAAGCATTTTAGGTAGAAATGTTATTGTGTGTGTAGGTCACGTCCACGGCATGGTTCATCCTCAACATCAGATGTCTCACGGCTTCTTCCGTGGGCTCCCCTGGTGGCCTCCCTGCCCGCAGAACATCCTAGCGGCAGGAAAAAGCAAGCAGCGTCCCAGAAAGCCTCCTAACCAGCCTCCCTGCCTCTAACTGGCCATGTTAGAGGATAAAGTTTTCTAGATCAGTCCTTTTATTTGTGAGTATATAGGGATAAAACTCCCAGTTAACCGAGTTTAAATAGATGGGTTAAGACGGAGAAGCTTTAAAACCCTGTAGAGTCTAGGGCACGAAAACAATCCATTTTTAATTGTTTGTTTACAAAGGATCATTTTGCTGCTCCAGTGCCCCAAACCAGTGTTACAGGACAGGTTTTCATCTAAAGTTTCAGGATCGCCAGTGGTGATCTCCAACCCAGTGTGGACGTAAGGAAGACTAGCCCATTTCAGAGAGAACGCTTCTGAACATCTTTGGAGAATATGCGTACTCCTCTTTGCCTGCCCGCTTTTTTCACTCATGAAATGCTGCAGGCTGAGATCCACACCACTGTCACTTCTTTCTCCTGATTTCTCTTCTCTACATTTATGAACAGCGGGTCACAGAAAGTCGAGAGAGCCAAATGACGATTGAGGAGAGGAAGCAGCTCATCACTGTGAGGGAGGAGGCCTGGAAGACGAGAGGCAGAGGAGCGGCCAACGACTCCACCCAGTTCACTGTGGCTGGCAGGATGGTGAAGAAAGGTCGGCATGTGTGTGCACGTGTGTGTGTGTGTGTGTGTGAGGCATGTACACAATTCACACATGTGATCACACTCACCCATGGAGGGCATGGTGGTACCTGATAGCTCAATTTAAAAGAAGAAACCATGGTCTTTTTAAGTTTTTTTTTTTTTTTTTTTTTTTTTAAGAGACAGAATCTTGCTCTGTTGTCTAGGCTGGAGTGCAATGGCTCAATTGTGGCTCCCTGCAGCCTGGAACTCATGGGCTGAAGCAATCTTCCCACCTCAGCTTCTCTAATAGCTGGGACTATAGATATGTAACACCATCCCTGGCTTTTTAAACATTTTTATGTAGAGTGGGGTGTCACTGTGTTGTTGCCCAGGCTGGTCTGGAACTCTTGGGCTTAAGTGATCTTCCCATCTCGGCCTCCTTAGTAGCTGAGACTACAGGTGTGAGACGCCATGCCCAGCCTTCTTTTAAAACTTTTAAACTTACTGACATTCTGTCAATGTTTTCTGTGTAGGTTCTGTGAGCTATTCCTACTTTTCCTCATCAATAGTATCATCTTCTTTTAACTTTATTTGATTCTTAGAAATATTTGAAGGTCATATAAGATTGCCACATAATTCTATTTGTCGCTATTTTAAAACTTACTCATTTGGAATTGAGTGAAAATGGAGGTTTCAAAGGAATTCAAATCTGCTAATAAATCTTGGTCCTTTTCCTTAATTACTTGTGTATGTGTGTGTGTGTGTGTGTGTGTGTGTGTATTTTTTGTTTCTTTGAGACAGAGTTTCACTTTTGTTGCCCAGACTGGCGTGCAATGGTACCATCTTGGCTCACTACAACCTCCACCTCCTGGATTCAAGTGATTGTCGTGCTTCAGCCTCCCAAGTAGCTGGGATTACAGGCACCTGCCACCGCACCTGGCTCATTTTTCATATTTTTAGTAGATATGGAGTTTCACCATGTGGGCCAGGCTGGTCTTGAATTCCTGACCTCAGGTGATTCACCTGCCTTGGCTTCCCAAAGTACTGGGGTATGGGGGGATGCAGTCTCACTCTATCTCCCAGGCTGGAGTGCAGTGGCAGGATCTTGGCTCACTGCAACCTCTGCCTCCCGGGTTCAAGCAATTCTCCTGCCTCAGCCTCTCAAGTAGCTGGGATTATAGGTATGTACCACCACGCCCAGCTAAATTTTGTATTTTTAGTAGAAACGGAATTTCACCATGTTTGCCAGGCTGGTCTCGAACTCCTGACCTCAGGGGATCCACCCACCTCAGCCTCCCAAAGTGCTGGGATTATAGGCATGAGCCACGGAGCCCTACCCATAATTACTTTCAAATAATTTCCATTTCCTTGTGACCTGGAAACCACATACCCTAAGTCAGCCTTTGGAAATAAAGAAGTTTATTCCCTCTTCCTTTTAGGTTAATTCCTGGGTCCCTCTCCATCAAACCTGAATTCTCTGACTGACCAAAGCCAATTCCGGATATGCTACAATAGATCTCTAAAAAATGTCATCAGTTCCAAGGCAGTGGGCTATCCCTGCTGTAGTCCCCTGCTGCTGAGGTCTTAGAACTGGTTTGATGCCTGTATTCAAACATTTATGAAACTGACTTACATATCACATGGTTAGTAAAGTCTGGAGAGCTTTGAGGCTTCATAGGAGTGTTTGGGGCTTTATGTCGTATCCTGCAGGAAATCGTTAAAATTTGGTGTGCCTTTGTCACCTCTATACACACACCATCATTTTCTAAGCTATTATTTAAAAGCGGATTTCCCAACTTAGTGGTGTATGTTTTCACATTCACTTGGTCTTAACATCTTGTCATCAAATTTATAGGCTTAGCTTTCCTTTTTATCAGAAACTTTAGGGATCCACACTTTTATGAAGAGTATGTAACTCATAGGTACATAATAAATGTTTGCACAGGAAGGGAAGGAGCAAGGGACAGGAAATCCCTGAATTGTGATTAACTCAAAACTTAGTGGGGAATTCTTTCTAACAATTCTCTTCTTACCTCATCTTGGAATTGTGAAAAGAGAAGAGAAGATAATTTACTCTCAGAATGAGGTATCATTTGCCAATTTTCTTCATCGGGACACAGAACTGGATAATCACGTTTAAACTCTTTTAACATGAGCCCCGGCCCTTCTTTAACAGAAGCACATCCTTAGGTGCAGAGTGTCTCAATGGAACTGGAGCTGAGAACTTGAACCAGACTTCAGGTTTTCCAACTTCTAGCCCAGACTTTTACCTTGATTACTTCTTGCTTTGTTGTTGTTTTTTTTTTTTTTTTTTTCCCTTCTTCCATCTTAAAATCCCTAATTTTATTTGTAAGTGGGTTCTTACTACGAAATACCTCTGCCCTTGTCCACATTGACATCAGAGGAAACAGATTTGCTCTTACTCAGGTTTGGAGAAGGAATCGTTTCCGTTTCCCGGTGGACAAGTTTGCTTTCACATTTTCCTGACTATATCAGGGATCTTTATTTAATAGGTGCTATATGGCTCACTCAGGAAATTATCTTCTTGTACTTTATGATTAATGAAAAAAACTATATCCTGTATTTCTAATATTTGCCATCGCCTCCTGGGTTGCCTGTTTCACTTGAGTCGCTAGCTGTTTTTGATTTGCAGTGATAATGACATCCGATGTACAATCACTGCAGGATAAAATAACCCCCTGCACAACAGCCAGGCTTCCTATCTCCCGGGACCATCAGCAAACCAGGTGACCCCTCTCGGCGCGTTACCAGGAGGCAGCCAGGACCTGACCTTCGTTCTCTCACCCCAGAAACCGCCCTTTTCCTGCTAGCCTCGTGAGGACTTGCCCCCTTTTGTACATTCCTGGATTCTGTGTAACAGCATTCGCCAAGTTTCCCGTGGTATTTTAGGATTCTCCTGGAAGCCGAGTACTCCAACTACACCTGGAGTAAGAGAGACGTGAAAATGTTCCCAAAGACAGTAGGCGACTGACTGTTGCACCTGGAATTCATGGAGAAGAGCTATGTGGGAGATCTTTGTTTTGTTTTAACATTTTGTGATTTGCATCTCCATGTCCTGAGCCATTTCTTCCCTAAGGCTCCTTACCTCTAGCTGGGAGAAGAGCTCTTTTGAGCAGTGCCACTGCCCGAACGGCCAGCAGGGGGAGCCATGGCCGCGGGGTTTGCCCAGCACGGGCCAGGACCAGAAAGGATTTCTCTGGTTGCTTTGGAAACCAGCCTTCAGAGAAATTAAATATATGTACATAATGGGAAGTACTTGTAGAATATCACCTAAAACTTGAGTTTTAAACGATTTAATGGTATTTTTTATTGATGTTTCTATGTTGTAATACTTCTCCCACGCACAGGAGGAAGGAGGAGAATCATTCATTCGTTTAGTTTTCCTTGTGACAGTGATTTGCATATTCTCCGGATGTTGTTCGTCCAGGGGTGCACTGTCATCTAAGGATTTCACATTTATCACAAAGGAGTACAGAGAACACTCACTTCCCGCTTTGTTTTCTGTAAATGCACTGATTAGTTTTCTTCCCAATGCCTTGCGCTTAGGTGAGGGAAGCCGTACTCATCCTTCTCTCACTAGGGTTTTCTTCTTCCAGCTGGATATGTTCTCCACACTGGGAATCCTCCCTTTCCCTTTCATATGTCTCTTACTTTCCCTTTTAAATATTCCCCACTCTGCTTCTCGGTAAATATATGAAGAAACGCATTTCTGGTTTCTGCCCACACCGGAATTGGACAGGACCCTCCAACACCCACAGTCGGTCTAGACCTGCCCCATTTCTTCTGAAAGGTTGTCCCTCCTTGGGTTACTGTCTGTATCATGTCCCCAAGGCCACTGTCCCTCCCTCCCCTCAGCCTGGAGGAGAGCTCCTGTGCTGGGGGCTGCTTGCTGGCGTGACACAGCTCATTCTGCTCGATGGCACCAATGCACTCTCAGCTGCCCCTGACACCCCCAGAGGGCCTCAGAACTCGCAGCTGCATCTGCTCGAGTTCACGTGTCATGGACATGTTTTCCCACGGCTTGGCTGTTCATTTTGGAATATTGGCTTGTCAGCCACTGCAGTCCTTGGAAATAAAATCCTCTGCATTTGCAGTTGGTGGTCCCACAGTCACGGTACCTGTGAAATGTATGCGTGTGTGCCTGCAGATGTGTAAATTCTTATATGTTGTGCCATCTACCTTGGGATTCCTGGAGATCTGTCAGAGTCCCAGGGATTTCCAGATGTGACCTTGAGGTGCTCAGTAGCTCATCTGTGTGTTCTGCAGGTTTGGCGTCACCCACTGCCATAACCCCAGTGGCCTCACCCATTTGCAGTAAAACAAGAGGCACCACACCCGTTTCCAAACCCCTGGAAGGTAAGTGGCCAAGGCCCCGGCCACGCCAAGCAGTTTCTGACCAGTAGAGGCCTTCGTGATGTTGTCTCACTGATGGTTTCTGCTTGCCTAGATATCGAAGCCAGACCAGATATGCAGTTAGAATCAGACCTGAAGTTGGACAGGCTGGAAACCTTTCTAAGAAGGCTGAATAACAAAGGTACCTACCGGAAGCCAGAAGGCTTCGCTCTCAGAATCTCTAATCCTAATTCTGATTGCTTTTCTTCCTCAGCTAAATTGTTCTCTTCCTATTATGGCTTCACTAATCCATACTGCCATCATGATCTTTGTCGTTACCTTTCAAAAACTGAAGTTTTGGTCAAGCCTGATTAGACTATCAAGCCCTGACTCACTTGATAATGTAATAAATCGGGGACTTCCAATAATACATTTTTTTATTGAATTTAAACCCTTGGATGTCATCCAATCAGAACTGTGAGCTGAGTGATTTTGCTTCTAAGTCTGAAAGCAGATTATTCCGCGTTGGCAAAATCAACGTGATCTTGGGCCTGGTGAACTTTAAATTACATGTTATCAATTTCCAGTAAGGTAAAAGCTGATATTATTTCTTATATCACAAATGATTTCTAAAAGAAAATTATAGCAAATGAATGTTGAAATATTTCAATATAAAACTCAATGAGGTATACAAACAAAAAAAAAAAATAGCCTTTTATCTCTTGATTAAAATGTCCAGTCCTGGAAACTTACCAAACACTAGGCGCTGGGAGTCCCTACTATTTACAGCGACCACTAAAAGGTTGAAAATAATACAGTCACCACTGAACAGAAACATAAATGTAATATAATCACTGAGTTAGCTAAGCAAGGAATGCCAGTCGGCAAAGCATTTATTCCACACGTGGAACAGTGATCTAAGCCATGGGTCAGCAAGCGATGGCCATTGCCAAATCCAGCTGCCCGCCTGCTTTTGTTTCCTGTTGTTCGTTCGTTTTTTAGAGACAGGATCTTGCTCTGTCACCCAGGCTGGAGTGCAGTGGTGCCATCATAGCTCACTGTAGCCTTGAACTCCTGGGCTCAAGCAATCCTCCCACCTCAGCCTCCCAAGTACATGGGACTATGGGCATGCACCACTAAGCCTGGCTAATTATTTTGTCTGGTTTTGTAGAGATGGGGTCCCACTATGTTGCTCAGGCTGGTCTTGAACTCCTGGGCTCAAAAAATCCCCCAGCCTTGGCCTCCCAAAGTCCTGAGATTATAAGCGTGAGCCACCATGCCTAGTCCTGTGTTTGTTAATAAAGTTTTATTGAAACACATCCACGCCCATTTGTGAACTACTGTCAACAGCCTTTGCATTTTAACAGCAGAACTGAGTAGTCGCAACACAGGCCCTGTGTCGCCTCTCCCTAGGCAAAGCCTAAAGCATTTACTGCCTGGCCCTTTTTGGAAGAAGTCTGTCAATCTTTGATGTAGAACGAGGCTGAGGCTAGTTCATCCACCCTCAGCAGAAGCAAGCGCAGGTTCCAAAGCCTTGAGTGGGCCGTGTGTGCTGTAATGTAAGGTCAGCCTCCCTCTCTCCTGTCATGTTACTGTGGGAGATCTGTTCAGGTGGGAAGTCCTTACGTGGCAGATGAAGTAAGGACCTGGGAAGCAACCACAGGACCCTGTATATCACAGTCGTGTTTCCTCCACTCCTGGAACGTAGGAGGAAATACAGTTTTTAAACTATCGTGAGGCATAACTGTAGTCCTCGTTTCTATAAAACTCTTACATCGTTTGCTTGTTTGTTGCTAGTTGGCGGGATGCAAGAAACGGTGCTCACCGTCACCGGCAAATCTGTGAAGGAGGTGATGAAGCCGGATGATGACGAAACCTTTGCCAAATTTTACCGCAGCGTGGACTATAATGTGCCGAGAAGCCCTGTGGAGCTGGACGAGGACTTCGATGTCATTTTCGATCCCTATGCACCCAAGTGAGTTATTTGGGTCTCCATCTTTCCTCCACTGAGAAGGGCTTCCGTCGCCTGACTGCACACAGCACATTCACGGGCTCTTCCCCAGCGTGACCTCCTTCTCCTAACTCCATCACAGCGGCGTTAGTATTCTAGGGCCAGGGCACAGTGTTGCAGGAGCCAGGGGCACGGAGCCTCGCTGCAGATATACGTGCAGGCGGCAAACCGGATGTGCAGGCAGGCAGACCGGATGTGCAGGCAGGCAGACCGGATGTGCACGCAGGCAGACCGGATATACATGCAGGCACACCGGATGTGCACGCCGGCAGACCGGATGTGCACGCAGGCTCACCGGATGTGCACGCAGGCAGACCCGTGGGCCAGAGATGCTTGTCCTGTGCCGTAAAGAGGGCGTCACTGGAGTTTTCACATCACTTGAATATTGTTTTGCAGTTTTTAGGTTTACATCACTTAGCAGAGAGTTCAACACCTGTCCTTCATTTGACATTGAATTCTTACTCATAACTTTGCAAAAATATTTGGATGAGATGGGCTCAAATTAGTACAACTAACTAGAAAATCAGTAAACATGTTACTTAGCTTCTAATCATACACGAAATCAACAACTCTGAGGGTTTTCTCAGTGATAACTTAGAGTTTCTCTTCTCGCAGGAAATGACTAAACCAACCAGGAAAAGTGATTATGGTGTTAGGATTCCTTCAATTTCAAATGCCAGGAGAAAGATCCCAACACAAACCGACTTCAGCTAGAAAGAAAAGTGTGCAGGGGTTTACTGGCTCACTCACCGAAAAGTGCGGGTGTGAGCTCGGGTTCTAGAGCCCCTCAGAACAGTCTGTCTTGCCTGTTTTCCTCTGGGCTGGCCTCCCTCTCCGTCAGGCAGTGGCCTGGCGGCAGATGGACACCCCAGCTGTGGAGTCACAAGGCTGCCTCCTTGGCCAGCCCGGCACAGGTAGCTTCTCTTCCCAGTAGTCCCAGCAAGGGTCCAGGTTTGATTTTCTTGGCTTCAATGTGAGCCCGAGTCCATCCCTAAACCAGTCACTGTAGCCAGTGGGATAGAAGATGCCAACAGGCTGAAGGCGGGTCTCTGGGTCCCCTACAGAGCCACAGTGGGGACACGGAGAGTTTCCCCAAAGGAAAATCCAGATGTTATTATAAGAAGCAGAGGAGGGCATGCTAGATAGGCCACACCCACGGCAGTCCACCACATCCATCTGGTCTTTCCTGCGGAATTGTCAGAGTGACATATCATACCATTTCTTCACGCTGCTCCTGATACATTCTTTGTATATGTCAATTTTCGTGTTTTAATTTCCTACCATAAAAAATCAAACCTTTGCCATTTTCCATCTCAAAATAGTATTTTGGGTATTTGCATACCTAGCTATTTAACCATTTCTCAATGTCACTGTTTAAACTGGTGTGTGTCATCATTTAAACATGTATGTATATTTACACACGTGACACCATGGGAGGGAAAGAGGGCCTTTCGGGCACAGAGACCCGCGCAGTCGGAGGCGGACAGTGGCAGCAGAGGCCTGTCGGGAGATCACTTAGCTCGGTCTGCTTACCTCCCCCAGTCTGGTTTTACACCCCAGAGAGTTGTGAGAACGTGGGGTGGTCACAGATAGTGGCGGGCCTGTTTTATTTCAATGTATTCTTCCAAAGAGTGGTTCTTTTTCAGAGGGGGCAGTGAGTTGAGTGGAAGCTAGTCATGGAGGGACAGCAAGGGGACCGAAAGCTATGGCATGGAGGAAGGTTTAGTACAAGCAGAGAGGATCACATCAAGGAGCCCTGGTCTGCAAGTTCCTGAAGGGCTTGCCGGAGACAGACAAGTAGACATGGGAGTATGATTCCAAAGCGAAAATGAGGACATGTGCACGGGCGCGGTGAGGAGAGGCAGGAGCTCCCGGGCCCCCAGGGCTGACTAGCAGAGCCTCGAGCTGCCCGGAAGTACTCCACACCCTTCCAGGCCGACCAAGGGGCCTGAGTGACCGGAGGCGTCCGGGCGTGGCTGGGATTTGAACTCAATGGGCTTGCATCCCTCTTCCTTCTCCAAGATTCTACAAGTTCACCTCAGGGGAGTTGCGGTGGGGGGAGGAGTTGCAAGACTTGTAACAAAATCAGGAAATACACTGTGGAGTCCAAGACCCGCAGGTCACCAGGCGAGGGGGTGTCGCAGACTGGGACCACACTCTGCTTCCATCCTCAGATTGACGTCTTCTGTGGCCGAGCACAAGCGGGCAGTCAGGCCCAAGCGCCGGGTTCAGGCCTCCAAAAACCCCCTGAAAATGCTGGCGGCCAGAGAAGATCTACTTCAGGAATACACCGAGCAGAGACTAAACATTGCCTTCATGGAGTCAAAGCGGATGAAAGTAGAAAAGAGTGAGTATCTGAAATCTCTGCCTGCTCCCGTGCTTGGGAATGGCTTCTTCCGTTGCTTTAATCATGTCTTGGTTTTCTGCCTGTGAAGGCCAATAATGGTGCTCAGAAACCCTCATGAAGTAAAAAGGAGTAAATATGAACGTATGTGTGCATGCTTACCTAAAATTGAAGGATTTGTCATGGAAATTCTCCCAGAGTGTATCACCTGTTCACTTGGTTAATTCTAATTATGCTAGGGTTTTCTTCTTTTTAAGAGACTGGGATCTCATTATATTGTCCAGGCTCATCCCAAACTATTGGTCTCAAACAGTCCTCCCACCTTGATCTCCCAAAATGCTGGGATTACAGGTAGGAGCCACTGCGCCTGATCACAAATTTTCCTGTTTTGTTGGTTTTTTTCTGAAAGTGAGAAGGGAGATATGGCTATTTTTGAGTATGTTAATTCATCCATTTTCAGCTCTGTCGATCCTGAACAGTAATTCTTCATTTAATCTTATTCAAGAGCAAGTCATCTGATCTCTTATAGTAAAAGGGCTCAAATCACTGGTGTGTCTAATCCTAGATTTTTATATTATTCATTAACACATGACCATTGCTTTTCAAATTGTTCTTGGTTGGACCCTCAGCTTCTAAAGTTAGGATGTGAGCTGGAGGGAGCAGGTGGAGCTGGCTGGGGGCGGTGGATGGAGGCGAGGAGGTGGACTCCAGACTCACCCTCACCGTAGGCTGAGCCACACTGCTCTGATCTGCCCAGTAATGTGGGGTTCCATCATTCTGAAACAGTGGTTTTCTTGGTTTGAGGTGACAATATGCATAGTCTTGATTTTTGAGATAATCTTGCTGTAATTTTCATTTTCCCATAACACTCATAAACCAATTTTGTAATGTTTGTCTTAGAAATATAGTATTTAGCTGAAGTGATTGAGTCTTTTCAATATAACTGGTTTACTGAGAAAGTCTATTTCAGCCTGTGCATGGTAGATCATGCCTGTACTCTCAGCACTGCAGAAGGCAGAGGCAGGAGGATCACTTGAGCCTAGTAGTCTGAGACACGCCTGGGAAATATGGCAAGACTTTATCTCTACAAAAAATGCAAAAATTAGCCAGGCGTGGTGGCACTCACCTTTGGTCCCAGCTATTCAGGAGGCTGAGGTGGGAGGATGGCTTGAATTAGGAGGATGGCCCTAATTGTACCACTGCACTCCAGTCCGGACTACAGAGCCACACCGTTTCTCAAAAAAAGAAGTGTATATCAAAATCACAGCATTGACAAGTAGTATTCTATTTCTTCAGACCTAATCCCAGTAAAATAAACTTCTGAATTTATCTCTAACATGTACATTTTTTTTTTTTTAATTTTGGAAGAGAGTCTTGCTCTGTCGCATAGGCTGGAGTGCAGTGGCGCAATCTGAGCTCACTGCAACCTCCACCTCCTGGGTTCAAGCGATTCTCCTGCCTCAGCCTCCTCAGTAGCTGGGATTACAGACATGTGTCATCATGCCCAGCTAATTTTTTTGTGTTTTTAGTACAGACGGGGTTTCACCATGTTGGCCAGGCTGGTCTCGAATGTCTGACCTTGTGATCTGCCTGCCTCTGCCTCCCAAAGTGCTGGGATTACAGGCATGAGCTACCATTCCTGGCCACATATACATTTTTTAAAACAGTAAGTTGGAGAAATGAAGGTTTTTTGGCACAGATTTTTTTTTTTTTTTTTAGATGGAGTCTTGTTCTGCCACCCGGGCTGAAGTGCAGTGGTGCAATCTCGGCTCACTGCAACCTCTGCCTCCCGGTTCAAGTGATTCCCATGTCTCAGCCTCCCAAGTAGCTGGGACTACATACCCAGCTAATTTTTTGTATTTTTAGTAAAGACAGGGTTTCACCATGTTGGTCAGGATGGTCTTGATCTCCTGTCCTTGTTATCCGCCCGCCTCAGCCTCCCAAAGTGCTGGGATTACAGGCTTGAGCCATCGCTCCTGGCTGGCATGGATTGTACATATGTTTCCTCTGCCTCCACTTTTGGGACCTCGGGTTAAATTGGTGATGACTGACTGACCCATAGATGTTTGCTGTTTTGCACTGAAAACCCATCTCATAATTACCATAGTAACTCTGAGAGCAGAACACCTCAAGATATCATCTGACTGATCACTTTGCCTTTACGAAAAGATTAGAACCTACTCATCCCTTACAGAGTGTCTGCTTTTTTTCTCTTTACATATAAAGGCTTTTGGTGACAGATGTCTAACAGTCATCGGCATCTAGACATTCCACATGTAAAAGTTGTTAGGATTTAGAACAGCTTTCAGTGGACCTGCAACAAGTGCATCCAGCTCCTGGCTTTGTGCTGGAGCAGCTGGTCCACGTCGTCTCAGTTCTTGTCCCTCTGCACAGGGCGGTGTGACACTTACCAACAAGCCGTTTCTATTCTTGATGCTGTATTTAATTCCCAGCACGGTGGTTAAGTATTGAATTGCACGTTTGATCAAACTTGGGTATGTTTCCCTCTCGGGACTAACTTGAAAAGACAAAGGTGTTGGGTCGGTTGTGAATGATTTCTGACAGTAAATATTGTCGCTGTAACGGGACCTCCTGCGTTGTGTTTCCATATTCAGCCCGTCCAGTGTCTTCCAACTCCACCTTCTCAGAAGTCACCCTGGCCGGTTTAGCCAGTAAAGAAAACTTCAGCAGCGTCAGCCTGCGGAGCGTGAACCTGACGGAACAGAACTCTAACAACAGCGCCGTGCCCTACAAGAGGCTGATGCTCCTGCAGATTAAAGGTATTTCAGAGCAGCTGGGCCCAGTGACTCAGGGCCCGTGGTTTCTGTCTGGTCACCCGAGGAGTCCTGACTCATTCACCGCCTGTGCCGGGAAGGGAACCCATGTTTTTTGAGAACCTACTGTGTGTTCCTTGCTATGCAACCTCCTCTCTTGAGCTTGCCCAGATTCCGTGAGGTAGGAAGTATTCTGCCCACCAGGGCTTCCAGAGGCAGGAACGCATCTGGGGTCCCAGCAGCTGCTGGGTAGCAGAGCTGGATTCGAACCCACGTCCCCGACTCCAGAATCCCGGCTTTTGTTCCTGATGCCTCGCGCCCCACGAGGCAGCCACACATTCATGTAGTTACCAGAGGCGCCCTGCGTCATCAGAGGGGCTCTCTGCTCCCTACCCAGTTCCCCCCGAGTCAGTACAGAACCGGGGAGGAGGAGGAGGAGGACACAGCTTGGAGAAGGAATCAAGGGAAGGTTGAGCGGATGCAGCCCCTGCATTCCACTCCAGTGCCCTCCTGGCCATGGCTGGGGAGATTTCAAAGACGAACCCTGGGGACGCTGGCCATGAGGCTGGAGACTCGGCTGCCCCCTGGTGGTCACTGTGTAGATGAATCCTCGAGAGGAGCATGGAGGAAATCTCTCCCTCCAGGAGGGTTTCCCACGTGTTTCTGCAGGACCGCTGTCCTATTGCATATTTAAAAAAAAAAAAAAAAAAAAAAAAACTAGTGACAAGCTCAAATAAACGATCTCTGTCCTGAGTCGTAACCCAGAGACTACATGGTCAGTGTAATTGTGGAAAGCTCAAAGTCAACAAACACTTTGGAGAAGGTGTTGAAAGCCACAGAAGGCCGTGCCTCCCTCCTTCCAGTGGAGAGGCCCCTAGGGTTCACAGTGGAAACTCCCCAGGGGAAGATCCGACCCTTCCTGAGGGCGTGGCTTCCCTTGCTGAGGCCACAGATGTAACTGGGTGCAGGGGGTGGCCTGGGGAGCGAAAGGCCCAGGTGAAGAGGGAAGGAGGGAAAAGGAGCCCCTGTGTTCATTTCCCTGGAAGGGGGAGCCTCAGTTCACCCACACACATGACTGATAATGGTCCTGAGAAGCGGGTGACATTTGGGAAAGCAGGAACCAGGGAAGCAGTCGCAGGTGCTGTCATGATGCCCTTTCTAAATCCTCCTGCTGCCACCCTGGGCCATGGGAACTCTTATTAGCAGATGAGCTCTTTAGAGGCGAAAGCATCCGCAGCAGGGAGGCTTCCGATGTGGGGTGCATCCTGTCCCCATTCTGTCTGGGAAGACAGTGACCGTTTGCCTCGTGTTCAGGAAGAAGACACGTGCAAACCAGGCTGGTGGAGCCTCGGGCCTCAGCACTCAACAGCGGGGACTGCTTCCTCCTGCTCTCTCCCCACTGCTGCTTCCTGTGGGTAGGAGAGTTTGCAAACGTCATAGAGAAGGCGAAGGTTGGTATCTGGAAACTAAAAATGCTGTAGGGAACGTCCCCTTTACACACGGGTAGAGTGTTCTTCCTGGTGTCGGTCACAAAGCTTCTCAAACGCCAGGTGTTGCGTTCAAGTGAAAGGGATAGGTGGCATTTCATTTCCTGAATGTCTCTCAAACAAGCTTTCGTTACATGTTTAAGTGGGACGTTTTAGGACTATGACCTACACCCCCAGCGTTTAGGTCCTGGGTTCCTTCTTACTCCTGTGTAAGAAAAGGAACTGGCCCCACTTTGAAGTCCTTTATCTCAGGTAGCTCTGAAGTTCCTCCATAGACCTATTGAATGAGAATGTCTTGGGGTTAAAGCCCAAAGAATGAGTGCTTCTTAAAAGCGTCACATGTGACCTATTGAAGATGGAGAACTATGGCTCTAAAGAATTGGAGCTCCCTGGTCTTTCAGTTACATTTTCTTGAGGTCACTGAAAATACCCAGTAACCAGCGTCCACCCGCCCCTGTGGTCACAGGCTTTCCTTTCAGGCGCACACAGTTTCTCCTCTCTGGTTTTGACATGTGCCACTCTGTCCAGCCAAGGGCTTTTCTACCCAGGTCATGCGTTCCTCTCTTTTTTTAGGCCTCAGAACTTGCAGCTTTAATTCAGACAAAGAGGGAACTTGGTTGTAGAGCTACTTATATCCAAACCATTGAAGAAGGAATTAATACACACACTCATGCAGCCAAAGACTTCTGGAAGCTTCTGGGTGGCCAAACCAGTTACCAGTGTAAGACTTTATTGTACTTCAGAGATTGACAAGACGTGAATCTCCTTTCTTCTCCCTTAACTCATTCGAAACCAGCTACTTTGCAATGGAAAATGTGATGCTCTCCTGTTGTTCTTATCCCTAAGCTGCTGGAGACCCAAAAGAAGATGAACTCTATGAAGCAGCCATAATAGAAACGAACTGCATTTACCGCCTCATGGATGACAAACTCGTGCCTGATGACGACTACTGGGGGAAAATTCCAAAGTGTTCCCTTCTGCAGCCCAAAGAGGTACAGTCCGTGGGCTCTGCCCGTCAGTGACAAAGCACATCAAAAGCACTCGGTACAGGCTGCCCAGTAAATTAGACAGCAAGTTTCCAATGAGGTTGGCCAGTGTCAGTACCCATTGTAGATCATTTACAGCTTTTTAAAGGATGTTTGTGATTTCAACCCATTACTGAAATCTTACATGTTAATATGGAATCCAGAATATTGTTCAGAGACAGCCTGGATCATTGAAGACTTTTATGTCTTAAGCAAAATGTAAATATTACTTAGCCCTGTCTCTTGCACTTTGCATAAACATTATGATAAAATATTCTTCAGTCCTTAGTTTGAGGAATAATAGATGCATGTATGTATAATTTGTGGATTTGCCAATTAATGTGCTGCTTTTGTCCTGTCACGCCAGTAAATATTCGTTAATCACATACGTTTCCAGTCCCATTCAACGTGCTAAGTGTCGAGAAGGTGGAAGATACACAAGGCCCTTCCGTGTGACCGGGCGGAGGAGTGTTAGGAGGAATGTCATCTGGAGCGAGGGTGGCTGTGTGCTATGTATGGCATTTACATGGGAAAAAGGTCACAGAAAAAGAAATCTTCAGGAATAATTTTACATAGAAAGTGAAATTGAGCTGAGTTTAGAGTTAAGCAAAATTTGAATTGCTGGAAATGAAGGGAGAAGTCATTCTAAGAGAAAGAATAAAACGAACCATGAAAATAGAAATAGCACTACGTTCAGATATTCATTCAGCAAACACTTAGTAATCAACCCCTCCTGTGTGTATTGCTATGATCTGATCCCTGCCCTTAAGGATCTTGGAATTGTGTGCAGGAGAGAAGACACCATTGCACCCTGAGCGCCTGGTGTGCGAAGGAGCCTCTGTGCATATATTAAGTGAATGAGTGAGCACATGAGAGAGGAACGGGGGGGGGGGGAAGGAAAGAGCACAGGAAGATGCGCCCGACACAACTCTTGTGCATCACAAGAGGAGGGAACATTATCTCGGCCACTTAGGACACTGGGAGGAGGGATCATGCCCCCGGGGCAGAAGCTGGCTTGGTGGGGCAGTGCCCGCTGAGATCTCATGGCCTTTCTGTGTCTGTACTGGTCGCCCCATTAGGATTTCTGTCTACCTGCGTTTGACTCGCTGTCAACAGAGACCCTCATTCAACTATTGCACATTCTTGAAGTTAACAAGCTCTTTTGTGCCATTTCTCCCAGGTGCTGGTGTTTGATTTTGGTAGTGAAGTTTACGTGTGGCACGGGAAAGAAGTCACGTTAGCACAACGAAAAATAGCATTTCAGCTGGCAAAGCACTTATGGAATGGAACGTTTGACTATGAGAACTGTGACATCAACCCACTGGATCCTGGAGAATGCAATCCGCTCATCCCCAGGTACTCCCGCCGCCGCCCGGGATGGCAGATTCCATTCGATCCCTCTGTTCTCACCGCAGTCCTCTACTCGCGCTCTTTATAGGGTTCACTTTTCATAAACGATTATATGCAGTGGACCGTGAATATTCACAGACGGAAAACTTCTTTCACTTTTATCCAGCTACTGCAGAAATACGGATGCTGTCGTCTCCTGCAAGAGGTTTATGTGATAGTTGGTTTTTTGAAGTGAGCAGGAGATGCTGCAAGTTCCCACCTGCGGCACTCCAGGTGCTGCCGGGGCAGATGAACAGCAATTGTTTACACAGATCACATGCGGATCTGAAAGGCGTCCCCAGATCTGGAATTCAGCCACCCATGTGAAGGGGCAGAAGCAACATGCTTCTTCTAATTCACACCTTCCCAGCATCGCCTGGAATTCCAGGATTTACCTGGCAGCAGAATGGTGTGGGTGCCTTTACCCCTTTCGGGAAGGGAAGAGGGGAGGGGATGGCATTACATTAATGACTGCGGTTTTAGTCTTTCCTGCATGTACTGGACTCTTTAAAGTCATTTTGGCAATTCAATAGAATACGCAAAAACTCTAAAATTATGATTATGAAACAAAGAGTTCTTACAGGCAAAGAATTGTTTTTTGAAACTATCAGACCAAAATAAGTAGTGCTTTTTAACTATGTGTGCCATTATAATAGATTGGAAACCAATGAACCACCAAACAGTATAGAATACTAGGCATCACACAAGTATGATGTGTGAACATTAAACATTAAACTACATTTTAATGTTTTCCATTGACCTGGTATATGAATGGTAACTTTCCTGCTTAGTTTCCTGCTTTAAAATCCAGCTGTTAATTTTCTTATTAATTAATTGTTATGGAAACCATTATAAATTACAGCAGTGTGATAAGTTTTCAAGTTCTTTTTAAGCAAATGCACATTTAACATCAGGATGGTAACAACTGGTGTTTTAAGGACTGTAACTGCAGCTCAAGATTTTTTTGGTACAGAGAAAAAAAAAAAAAAAAAAAAAACCGGCTAAAGCACAAAATCTGTGATGCCAGTTGTGTTTAATAGTGGCTTAATCACACAGCTGAAAGTGACTGAATGAGCTTCTAGCCCACGGGTTTTCAATGTCTCTGCGAAAATCACCTGAGAAGCCTTTAAACAAATGCATTTGCTAAGCCCAGCCCCAGAGATGTGTTTTTGATTCAGGTGAGTTAGAGCTTGTGTCAATGTCTTAAAAGCTCCCAGGGATTTTAAGGTACAGCCAGGATTACACACCCCGCCCTTCTTAGCAAATGAGGCTGAAACCACTGAGCCCAGTTCCAGCTGTGAGTCAGGGAAGGGGGTGGGGAAACACACCTGGCTCCTGCCCCAGGTTCGTACCCCTCACCCTGCAATCTGGTACGTCGCTTGCTCATGCTTCAAAACATAGACGACAGATTCTAAAGCAGAAGCCAAGAGTCCTTCCGACTGTCATCTTAGCAAGCCTGCAGAGGAGGACTGACATAAGAGACTCTCATTCAGGTATTCCTGATAAAGACCGCAGCCTTTCAAGACCGCTGTGCATTTTTCATAGGTGCTGATGTTCGGTTCCTAAAGTCTCACAAGAGGTAGAAGTGTCTGTGTTCTATGATTAATCCTGCAGCTTTCTTTGAATCCAACAGCCTTTCTGATGTACCTCAACTGTGACATCAGCAGCTGTGGGCTTGACCAAGCAGGAAGCAACTGAGGCACAGCAGGGCAGAAGCAGCAGGGCTGGCTGCTCTGAGGGGTCTTGTATCCCGAGCCGGATTCACAACTGAAGATGGATCTGGAGGGATGAGAGATCATGCATGTTAACCCAGGGCCATGCCCTCCACAGCACATGTATCTTCTCGCCACTACCTTTTTCTAAATTACCTGTGTCCTTGGGTACAGAGCAAATTCTGAAATCCCAAACCCACACAAGAGCTCCAGGTGGGGCTGTGCTGTTGTCTTTCCTGTCTCTGTGCTCCCCTCAGCTGCTGCCCTGGCCAGTGGCCTAGAAATAAGTGTGCAAAAATGCACTTCGTGATCTATGAGTGTGTTTAGTGACCAAAGAATCTTTGTACTCTGGAGAGCTTTGTTGTAACATGATAATAAGCGAGCAGAGAATTGAGGGGGAAGGGAGCTGCGTCTTCCCTACATCTGTTAATAGGAGGGAAACTTGGTGAGTGTCTGCAGGTGACTGGGTGGCTAAAGTAGACAAGTAAGGGTTGCCGGCGGCCGCTGCCTTTGCTGAAATGCCCACCCAGTGTGGACCCCAGGGCATCCCAAAGATGAGAACTGGCTAGAATGTGGCTCATGCCTGTAATCCCAGTACTTTGGGAGACTGAGAAGGGAAGATTACTTAAGGCCAGGAGTTCATGACCAGCCTGGGCAACATAGTGAGACTCCTGTCTCCTATTTAAAAAACAAAAATTAGTCAGGTACACTGGCTCACACCTGCAGTTCCAGTTGCTATTCGGGAGGCTGAGGCAAGAGGATCACTCCAGACCAGGAGTTCCAAGTTCGAGTCTGTAGTGAGCTATGATCATGTGACTGCACTTTGGCCTGGGCAACAGAACAAGACCTTATCTCTTTAAAAAAAAAAAAAAAAAAAGCCAAATACGGTGGCTCACACCTGTAATCCCAGCACTTTGGGAGGCTGAGGTGGGCGGACCACAAGGTCAAGAGATAAGAGACCATCCTGGCCAACATGGTGAAACCCCATCTCTACTAAACATACAAAAAATAAGCTAGGTGTGGTGGCACATGCCTGTAGTCCCAGCTACTCAGGAGTTTGAGGCAGGAGGACTGCTTGAACCCAGGAGGTGGAGGTTGCAGTGAGCCGAGATGGCGCCACTGAACTCCAGCCTGGTGACAGACCAAGGCTCCGTCTCAAAAAACAAAAAGAACTTGCTAGAATGTAAGGAAAGTCTAGTCCTGACATGGTTAATGTCATATTCAGGCACATGTAAAACTCCATGGACACAAGGCTTTGCAAGACTTCAGACTAAAATAACAAAATTTGGTAAAATGCAGAAAAATAAACCATTTGTTCTATATACCACTTATGTGCTTTGAGGTTTTCTCCAGTAGCCGCTGTGTTTTAGATTCCTTGGTTTAACTTGGCTTAACCTTGGTTCTTTTCCTGTTTATTCTCCCAACCCCCCCACCCCCACCCTGCAGAAAAGGACAGGGGCGGCCCGAGTGGGCGATATTTGGGAGACTTACTGAACACAATGAGACGATTTTGTTCAAAGAGAAGTTTCTGGATTGGACAGAACTGAAGCGACCGCAGGAGAAGAACCCCGGGGAGCCTGCCCAGCACAAGGTATCCCGGCGACCAGGTCTCAACCTTGGGGCTTGGTTCGGGTCCCAGCAAAAGTGGCCTTGATGTAAAATGACCAAATCAGGTAGTTTGCAAGACCGTCACCTCAGATTTATCATTTCTTTGTGGTGAGAACATTCCAATCCTCTCTTCTAGCTGTGCTGAAATATGCAATGCAGTGTTGGGGACAGTTGCCTATCGTGCCATAGAGAAGCAGCTCGTTCCTCGCTCTGATTGTCACTTTGTGCTGTTGGCCAACATCCCCCAACCCTCCCTCTGCTGCCTCCTTCCCTCACCCCCTCCCCATAAAACAGATGCCTGTATCAGCACATCAAATTGTACACATAAAAATGTGTCAACTAAAATACTTTTTTAATTAAAATAAACACAAACACACACACCCCCTTAAACCTAGGAAGCCTTCCCCGGACTCACGAGTAGAACAGCAGACTGGCCTCCAGTTCTAACCCGACTCCAGGAGGTGAGGAGTCTGGTTTGCGCCTGTTCTCGGGCATCCATGTGCTGTTGTGGCCATGGGTGTTCAGACCTCCCAGAGTCTTCCTGGAGCTGTAGCCTTTCCCTCACTGCAGTTAAGCATCCTGGGACAGAGTGTGGAAGCTGTATTTTTATGCTGTCCCATGAACAGTTGAAGCAGTGTTGAGTGTGACAAGGTATGGCTGTGGAAACAGACAACCTCCATGTTCCCCTGTAGGAAGACCCCAGGGCCGATGTCAAGCCGTATGACGTGACGCGGATGGTGTCCATGCCCCAGACGACAGCGGGCACCATCCTGGACGGGGTGAACGTCGGCCGCGGCTATGGCCTGGTGGAAGGGCACGACAGGAGGCAGTTTGAGATCACCAGTGTCTCTGTGGATGTCTGGCACATCCTGGAATTCGACTACAGCAGGCTCCCCAAACAGAGCATCGGGCAGTTCCACGAAGGGGACACCTATGTGGTCAAGTGGAAGTTCATGGTGAGCACGGCAGGTTAGTGAGCGCTCGTGGTTTCTTCCAGCTGAAAGAGGCTGGCCGGCAACCCTGCGGGAGCCAGCTTCCCCAGCACGCCCTGCTGTGCCTCTGCTGTGTGCGCACGTGCAGTGGGGCACTCCAGTCATCCGTCCTTGAGAGCCACTTAGTAAACCACAGAGGGAAAAAGAAGTCAGGCCAAATCCCTAACAGCCTAGCCTTGCCGAGGCCGCTGGTGTTCACCTGTAGAAATTGACTTGCACGTCAAGGCTTCCTGGCTCCTCTCCCTCCCTGTCCCTGTCCCCAGAGCTGTTCTGGGAAAGCAATGATTGGCCGGCCTCTGAATGATATTTCTCATGTGCCTGTGTGCTGCTTCAATTAAAGTCATTAAGTAGAGTATATCTTTGTGATTTAAAACTGGAACCAAATGGTGCTGTTCATTGTAGTAAATACACGCACACAAGGTTGATTTCAAAAGAGGCTGTTTCTCCCAAGGCTGAGCGCACGGGTGGCCTTGGTGGGTCTGGTTTATACATGCAGAGTCTAAACTCTCCTGGGTTCCTGTTGGTGATATGCTCGATTCCAAAACACTCACCTGGATGCTTGAAGCTGGAGACGGGGGAGTCAGGTGAACTCTGGAGAAACCATCCATGTCCTTGCCAAGGAGGAGCCTTCCCGCAGCGCTCCTCACCCCTCCCACTTAGGACAGCATGCAGGTCACAGCTCTGTGACGTCAACTCGGAAGAGTCTTTCGGCCTCTTTACAGCCCCCATGCTGTGCACGTGCACCTGCCCCGGGGCCACGGGAGGCGCAGGCTGATCAGACACCTGCAGGCGCAGAACCACATGATTTCTTTCCTGATTGATATAAGACGTGTCTATGTATCAGCTGGCATTTCCTGAGCACCTACTCTATGGGAGACACTTTTTGTAGGGACCAAGTAAATATTTCAGGTCCTGTCTCCAAGACGCACGTGGTATCAATGACGTAGGGCAAGTGCAGGAACAGCCAGCAGGAGACCTTGCTGAGCACCAGGCGGTGGGGCTGTGTGCTGGGGCTGTGTGCTGTGCAGAGCCCGGTTGTGGCCCAGAGGTTCCCCCCGCCTCCTGGGGCACGATGCTGGGTCTTTACCTGCCTCTAGCTGAGGGCCTCCGGGGCTCCCTGAGACTTGTTCTGTTGTGATGCTAATTTCTCAGATGAGGACCAGGACAGTAAGATCAAGGAACCTGCCTGAAGCCACACAGCTAGCAGAGAGCTGAGCTGGACACTCACATCCAGGCGCCCTCTTTCCAAACCCAACCGTGCTGTTAACCCGCTTTGTGGGCAGGGAGTCAGAGGGGGGCTCCAGCACAGGATGTGGGGAGCCGTGAGTTTGGCTACAAAGAGGGGCCGAGGAGCCCAGTCACCAGATCAGGGAGCAGGTCAGGGTTGAATCAGCAGCAAGGCGACTTGAGGCTGGCTGCCGAGCACACCAAATTTCAGGGGCTCGTTAAACAGCAGGATTGGGATCTTCCAGCGCCCAGGCAGCTCCTGTCTCTCCTTCCAGGGAGTAGTGGGGTGGCGGACAAGAAACCCCAGTGAGAGGTTTTTTCTTTCCTTTTGTTCTTTTGTATGTGTGTGTGACGGGTGCTACTCTGTCTCCCAGGCTAGAGTGCAATGGCAGAATCTCGGCTCACTGAAGCCCTAACCTCTGAGGCTCCAGCGATCCTCATGCCTCAGCCTCCCAAGTAGCTAGGACTACAGGCACGTGCCACCGTATCAGGCTTTTTAAATTTTTTTGTAGAGATAGGGTCTCACTATGTTGCCTAGGCTGAGCTCAAACCATCCTCCCACTTCAGCCTCCCAAGGGGAGCAGCATTTCTTATCTGCTTAATTTCTTATGAGGAAGCAATTGGAACTGCTTCTTTCCTTTTTCATAAAGAGGTATGTCCCCTGAGGGAAGATGACAGGCACTGGGACCCTATAGCCTGGGATTCAGAATCTCAGGCCCTTACCAGCTACATGGGTTGAGTAGTTACCCCATCTGAGCCTTGGTTTTCTCACCTGGAAAGGAGGGATTATAATACTCGGCTCACAGGACTTTATGATCAGGCATATATGATGTTGAACAAGTGCCTGGCTTGTGTTCACACTGCAGGTGCAGGAAAGACTCATCACTGACACTGTCAGCAGGAACAGCATAATTACTGTTTTAACTTGAAAGTGAGATAACGTGGATCTCCCCAAAATAATGGCAGTTTCCAAAGAGTCATTGTCATGGATTTACGCTCTTGCTCTCATGCAGAGGTGGCACGTGCAGTAAAATTAATCTCTGATGTTGGTTACCAATGACGACGGCAATAGGGAATTGAGTGTTTCGGGGCGGGCGGATCTCTTAGCCCGTGGAGTAATGGAACTGGGAACTTTAAAGAACAAACTAAACACACTTGTAGTGTCCCTTCCTAAAATGCAAAAAGGGAAATCAGGTTTATAAAACCAGACATTTTCTTACCTTAGCTGTTAGTTATGAGGGAAAAAAAAAGGTAATAGTGAATAGATGAATGAGTAAAACTGTTAACGTGAATTAATTAAAAATAAAGCTAAGAGTTCAAAGACTTTCACGGACTACTGACTTGGAGGCCCCTAGGAAATATGATTTGACCCAGACGATTCCTTTCTGTATTTCTTCCCAATAAACATAATGGACATCTCACAGCCAGCTCCAGTGGTATCTTTCCAGCAGACTTACAACTCTGCAAAGTCCAGCTTTTAGAGAATTAGGATAGAGCAGGGAGCATTCAGATTCCAGACCGTCCCTCCAGCCCTGGGAAGCACAGCCCGATGGCACCTGCGGTCACTCCGTAGCCAATGCGGAAGCTCTGGCCCCTTGGTGACACTAGTCTGGCTCCTCCATCACTTGCACCCAAAAGGGCCACACCTGCAAACAAGACTGAGTCAGAGCTCAGGGAGCACTTCTGGGGAGGTGGTCAGCAAAAAGCAGCAGCTGTGCAGATGGTACGGCCTCCACGTGGCAGATGCCAGCCAGCCTGCTACCGTCAGTGTCCTGGCCCAGTGTCTGCAGGGCAGGGCTGCTCGCACCCAGCAGGGTCAGGACACAGATGCTCCTGGTGCCAGGGATGCTGAGCCAGGCTTCCCTAGGGCGTGACAGAGGCTTAATTCCTATAAATCAGAGGTGGCTCTGGTGCGAGAATACTTAACCATGAGCAGTCTTTACACCTCTGTTTTCTGTTATTCCTAACTAGCACTCCCGGCACCAAACTCACTCTTCAAAGTACCTTGATGGTGTAACATGTCCACACTTTAAATTAGGTAACTAATCAAGGTTGTAAAGAGAATAGCCCGTAAGTCCTTACCACTAAAAATTTAATCTTTACATTGCTGAAATTAAAAATGAATACAGATATGAAAAATTAAGTTGCATACAGGACTGAATAGGGGTATGTGCAGGAGAACTAGTGAAATGTCTGCTTCATAAAATATCTTTACAGAAATAAAATTCTAGACTCACACCTGTAATCCCAGAGTTTTGGGAAGCGGCGATGGGAAAATCACTTACGGGCACGTGTTTGAGTCTAACCCAGGCAACACAGTGAGACCCTGTCTATACAAAAAATCAAAAATGAGCCCAGCATGGTGGCGTGCACCTGTAGTCCCAGCACTTTGGGAGCCTGAGGCAGGAGGATCTCGTGAGCCCAGGAGTTCAAAGGTGCAGTGAGCTATGGTCATATCACTGTACCCGAGCCTGGGCAACAGAGCAAGACCCTGTCTCTAAAATAGAAGTAATTTTAAAAGGAGATACAATTCTATTTCGGGTATATACAAGTCAATTTACAATGTTAGGATGTGATTTGATTACTTAAGTGTGAATACGTATTTATACAATGTATTTGGGTGCTTACAAATTTCAAGGTCTTTATAAGCTGTTATGATCTATTTGAAACAAATCTTTCCCCAGTAATCTATTTTGTGAAACAAATTTTCACTTTTGAAGAATGGGATTGCTATTCAAAGGCAAAGTTTTGTTACTTGGTAAGCAGAAATTTCAATTAAGTGGCTTCCAAATTAATTGTCGGATTTATAATCTAGTCATTGATGGATCTTATGTTATTTTTCTCCCTCAAAAATACCCAAACTTAACCAGTTTAGACCACAGTGGATGGTACAAAAGGCTGTGTTTAGTCAAAATACTTTTAAGAAATGATTCGAATCATTTAAGAAACCTATGTTACAAATACCTTACCAAACAAAGAGATAAAAATCAAATAAATATGACCCCAACCTTTGAAAAACTTAAATAAAACACGATTTCCCTTTTTGCATTTTAGGAAGGGGCACTACAAGTGCCTTTCCTTTGTTCTTTAAAGTTGCCAGTTCTGTTACTCCAAAGGCTAAGAGATCTGCTCGCCCCTTCAAATCTCAATACAGAGGCCGGGCACGGTGGCTCAAGCCTGTAATCCCAGCACTTTGGGAGGCCGAGGTGGGTGGATCATGAGGTCAAGATATCGAGACCATCCTGGTCAACATGGTGAAACCCCGTATCTACTAAAAATTCAAAGCATTAGCTGGGCATGGTGGCGCGTGCCTGTAATCCCAGCTACTCAGGAGGCTGAGGCGGGAGAATTGCCTGAACCCAGGAGGCAGAGGTTGTGGTGAGCTGAGATCTCACCATTGCACTCCAGCCTGGTTAACAAGAGCAAAACTCCGCCTCAAAAAAAAAAAAAAAAAAAAAAAAAAAAAATCTCAATACAGTTGTAATGTTGGAAATGGGATTGGAGCTGAGAAAAGTTATGGTGATATAAACCCAGAGATCCATTATTCTCATTCCTTTTTAACCTGTGTGGGTGTTCCCACCAACTGCATTCTCCTGTGTTGACTCCCACTCCCTGGGACACCCAGGCCTTTGGGTCAAGAGCTTGGTCTGCTGGCCTCATTCAGCCTAGAAGCTTCTGCTTCCAGATCAGCATTATTCGCATCTGCACTCCCCACCTCCTCAGAAAGGCCTTCCCTCAGCAACCGTCCCATGAGCCCGACCCTGCCTGGCATCACGTCCTTCTCTCCTGTCCTCATTGCACTTATCACTATCTGAAATCATCTTGCTCGTCTCTTTGTTAGAACAAAAGCACCGAAGTTGTTTGTCTCGTTCGTCTTTGTAGCCCAGAATCCTGACGTCCTGGCTCAGTGAATATTTGTTGAATGTGTGAGTGAATGAAGGGAATCTAGAGTGAGACATATTCTTACAGGTAGAGATTTGGATGTCTGCAATGACATCTAAAATGTCCATTTGGCCTATAATTCCAGTACTTTTGGAGGCTGAGGTGGGAGAATCACTTGAGTTAGAAACCAGGAGTTAGAAACCAGCCTGGGTAACATAGTGAGATCCTATCTCTACAAAATGTTAAAGATAAAAATTAGCCAGGCATGGTGATGCATGCCTGTAGTTCCAGTTATTCGGGAGGCTGAGGTAGGAGGATCACTTGAATCTAGGAGGCTGAGGCTACAGTGAGCCATGACTGTACCACTCCACTGGTACAGCCTGGATGACAGAGGGAGACCCTGTCACCTCCCCATGACTGCTCTCCACACCAAGAGTCTCATGTGCCCAGTGTGCTGCCCATGTTTACTGAGTGCCTGTGTGGTGCCAGCCATGAGGACCATCAGCTCTTAATCCTGGCAGCAGCCCTGGTGACAGACATGAAATCCCAGATTCATTTATGCTCAACTGACATGTCAGCAACCTATCTCCCCCATTTCTGACAGAACTGGAACACTTCAAAGTTGTATTTTTTACTAGAATAGTTTTAACAATCCGCTTGTGCTTAAAGCTGGTCCAGCTATTGTTTTTAATATCTTTTCTCTACCAGCTAATCTTCTGCTAAAAAGTAACAGAAAGTGGAAAACTCATTTGTGAGCCCTTAGTCCTGCTCTGGCAGTCACCAAATACCCAAATGCTTTATTTATTTATTTGTAAGAGAGTCTGTGTCACCCAGGCTGAAGTGCAGTGACACAATCATGGCTAACTGCGGTCTCAAACTCCTGGGCTCAAGTGATCCTCCTGCCTCAGTCTCCCATGTAGCTGGGGCTACAGGTGTGCAACACCATGCCAGGCTAATTTCTTTAAATTATTTTAGAGATGGGGTTTTGCTATGTGGCCCAGGCTGGTCTTGAACTCCTGGCCTCAAGCAGTCCTCCCAGAGTGTGGGGATTACAGGAGTTAGCCACTCACCTGGCCTCACCACATCGTTTGAAGAAATTGCTGTGCTGCACACTTGAAGTGATCTGCCGCCCCCTCTGGATGACAGGTGTTTTCTCGGGGCACCAGGAGGCCCCTCCGATCCTTTTTCTTCACGTTGGAGACTCTGGGTCAGGAGCTGGAAGGAAGGTGGTTATCTCTTCTGCTGGGCGCGGCCACCCTTCCCTCCATTGCCAGTGGTTTGTCTCCAGCCCCAGGCCTCAGGCTGTCTCTTTGCCGCTGGTCCTCGCCGGCCCTGGGAAAGTGAGAGGGACATTTGCTCCTCCTTGGGCATCTCAGCTGCTGACCTGTCCCTCCGCCGTTCTGTGATTGCAGTGGGAAGTCGCCAGAAGGGAGAGCACTCGGTGAGGGCGGCCGGCAAAGAGAAGTGCGTCTACTTCTTCTGGCAAGGCCGGCACTCGACAGTGAGTGAGAAGGGCACATCGGCGCTGATGACGGTGGAGCTGGATGAGGAAAGGGGGGCCCAGGTAAGTCTTGGGGAGCTCTGCACCCTAGGGACCAAGAGGAGCATCCTCTCCTAGGAGCTGATGGCGGCTCGGCCTGGTTCCTCCCAACATGATTCTGATAATGGAAGACCACGTCACCCAAAGCACTTCAGCCCTGGTCTGGCTTCTGCAGATTTCAGGCTGTGCCTCCCACTTCTTTCATCCTCCCACTTTTTGCAAGATGATCCCAGAGAAAATGTACCTGCAACCAGGAAATCCACAAGACAAGTGCAAATGGCCAATGGGTGATCTTGAAAGGTTTCCACCTAACCAATCAAGGCACTGTAGGTAAAACAAAGAGATGCCATCGCCCACTTCTGGAAATGGTAGTGATTTTTTAAAGAATGGATCCAGGGCTGGCAAGGATCCTGTGGGATAAGGATGCTGTGTTCGGGGTGAGAAGTGTAACTTGAACAGCCATCCTGAAATTTTGGCACAAGAACCTTAAAACTTTGATCAGTTGTTCCCACATACACGAATCTACCTGAATGTAAGAATTGGGAGTGCCCATTACCTCACCTGCATTCACGGCAGCCTGAGTAGGTTTTATGGAACAGGTCAGATTGAGTCACTCGCTTGCTGTCAGCCACACACACTGCAGTCTAAGCAACTTTCCAGAGCTTCAGCACCTTCATGGTGGGCCCCGGGCACCTCTCCAAGCTCCTCCTGCTCCTCCCCTCCACCCAGGCCACTCTAGCCTCTTCCTGTTCCACGACTAGCTCCTTCCACTCACCTCCTGCTCTGTGTCCCATTCCCACTGTCTGGAAACTTCCCCTGCCTAGTCTGTAGCTCTCAGTCTCTAAGGAGGCAGCTTTCTGTTCAAGTGTCACCTGCATCCCTGCCCCAAGTTCTATCCAGAGCCTCCTCATTCTCTTACCATTCTCTGTCCCTGTGCTTTATCCCTTTATTGTCACAGCACTTCCTGCCACCTAAAGCACATGATCCCCAGGAGCAAAACAGAGACCCTGCGGCCCTGGCCTTACAACCCCATGGCCTGCATCTTGCCTGGCAGGGACTGCTGCCCAGATCCGAGGCCTGTAAACACGTCTCTTTAACATCTGGATGATCTCTGCCTGAGTCTCATCTGCTCAGTACTAGTACCAGCAATTAAGAGTTATTCTGCTGAATCCCAGCAATTAAAGGTTAACTGGGATTCTTGGAAAACAAGACAATGCCATGTGTAAATCTCTTTATTCTCCTGGATGAATAACAATAGCAGGAGACAAGACAGCAGAGACAGACATTTTCGCCAGAAATGGATCAACACTCACCCAGCTTTGCAGTCCTAAGAACCAATCACGTTCCCTAAAAAATATTTTCTACTGGCCATGCGTGGTGGCTCACACCTGTAATCCCAGCACTTTGGGAGGCTCAGGCAGGTGGATCATGAGGTCAAGAGATGAAGACCATCCTAGCCAACATGGTGAAACCTCATCTCTACTAAAAAATACAAAAATTAGCTGGGCATGGTGGCGTGCGCCTGAAGTCCCAGCTCGGGAGGCTGAGGCAGGAGAACTTCTTGAACCCAGCTACTCGGGAGGCAGAGGTTGCAGTGAGCTGAGATGGTGCCACTGCACTCCAGCCTGGTGTCTGGCGACAGAGCAAGACTCTTTTTCAAAAAATAATAATAATAATTTCCTACTATGGACTATATTTTAGAAATGATATTGGCAACAGTTGCATATTAATTTATTCCTAATAGTCATTTCAATTACCCTTTATTTTGTAAAGGCTCTGAATGAATATGCTTTTATCATGCCTTCAAAATCATCCTCAGAGTTTTGAGTCTTAATCTATTGCATTTGAGCATTTTACCTATTATCAATCCAGTGGATGGAAAATCATTTTATTTGCATTTTTATTTTTTTGAGACAGGGTCTCACTCTATCACCCAGGCTGGAGTGCAGTGGCACCATCACCACTCACTGCAACCTTGACCTCCCAGGCTCAATCTTCCTTCCTCAGCCTCCTGAGTAGCTGGGATGTAAGGCATGTACCACTACAGGCACAAGCCATGGTCCAGCCCTGGAAAATCGTTTTAGATAGGAACTACTGCCACAAAATGGCGGCTGGTGATGCCAAATGGGTGCTGAGATTGATATATTAACTCACAGTGGGAAATGCTTCCTCTCAGCGCTCCCTGACTACTAGCTCCAGGAAACACTGCCTCTTTAAGGGAAAAGTGTCTTAGCGGGAGCTGACTCAACCCTAACTTGAGGTTATCATGGTACAGGTAACTTCTGAAGGAAGAGCCTTCCCTAGCAGACAAGGGCGAGACTGAGTGGACTGCTGGGGTGGCCACAAACCATACATTTTCCCCAGAATGATTACTAATCAGTGACGAGCCATTCTCATTACTGAGAACTACCTTGTTAAGAACGTGTTTGTATCAGTCTTATTACATCAGTAACCACAGAATACCATTAAAATATCAGGGGTCATGTTTTAAAAGAATATTCCATGATAGAACATTAAGTAAAGAAAACGAGGCTATACATCCTTATAAAGTAAGGCTCCTACTTTGTTTAGGAAAAACAAAAACTCCCTAACACCCTGAGAGGAGGTTGCACACCCTAGTTTGCAAAGCTTCTCTTCTCTTTAGGCCCTAATGTTGGAACTGGCTTTTGTTTGTACATCTTAGTATTTTTCAGATTTTCTGTGAGAGGCATGTATTGTTTTTAGGACTTTGAAAGCACCACCCGCCTTACCTATTTCCCTGTTTAAATCTGAAGGTCCAGGTTCTCCAGGGAAAGGAGCCGCCCTGTTTCCTGCAGTGTTTCCAAGGGGGGATGGTGGTGCACTCTGGGAGGCGGGAAGAGGAAGAAGAGAATGTGCAAAGTAAGTCACTTTTACTGCTGGAATTCGACTTTGTCTTTCCCTCTCTTGGAAGGAATTTTTATTAGCAGGGGCTGAAAGTGAGTCTGCCTTCATCTAGCTGTGGCACCATCTCTGAAGGCCTCCTCATGTTTTCCTGGTAACGGCTCTGGGCGCTCGTGACCCGCCTCTCCCTGGAGAATTTACTCCGGGATTCACCTTTGCCCGAAGGAGGCTGGAAAGTGACCTCCCTTCCTCTGTCTACTTGTTTTAGGAGGAAGAAAAATCAGTGGCTCGTCTATTATAAAGTATGAAATTTTTGTTGGCCACCATCCAAAAAAACATTTTTAGCTCTAGAACCTTTTAAAATATGTCTGTTATAGAACCTTGTTGTGTAAACCCTGGAAAAATGTTGTGTCTATATTGTGAACTTTGGATCACCTGCTTCTAACTACAAGAACCCACGTTCTGGGCTGGCAGGAAGTCCTGAGGCCTCAGTGCTTGGCAGGGCTCCCTGCGCAGGGCCTCAGCCCTCTAGTCCCTTAAGTCCCTGGCCCTCGACAGAGGTGGCTGCTGTGGACGGCACAGCAGGCACCAGAAAGGGCCTAGTTTGTTGCCACTCGCTCACATCGTAATTCCTCCACGCCGCTGGTGCCCCCTGCAGGTGAGTGGCGGCTGTACTGCGTGCGTGGAGAGGTGCCCATGGAAGGGAATTTGCTGGAAGTGGCCTGTCACTGTAGCAGCCTGAGGTCCAGGACTTCCATGGTGGTGCTCAACATCAACAAGGCCCTCATCTACCTGTGGCACGGATGCAAAGCCCAGGCCCACACGAAGGAGGTTGGAAGGACCGCTGCAAACAAGATCAAGGAACAGTGAGTGTTGTCTGCAGCGAGCCCCCCCACACACCGGGCTTCCCAGAGGGACGGGGCAGGCTCAGGGGTCCCAAGACCTAGCAGATCCTGGGGTGCTGAAAGTGACTGCAGCAAGGGATGGCTGGGAACATGGTCGGGGCCTCTGACACTCCAAGCAGAGAGGATGAACGTCTCGGCCCAGCCCTCCAACTTGGGGGCCGCCTCACCGTGGTCTGAGGATTCACCTGGCTTAATTTTTTAAGGACATAGGAGCTTGTGAGGAGTTTTCTAACTCATTTTTAAGTTTTCTAGATGTCTTATCCATGCAATTTCTTTTTTCTTTTTTTTTTTTTTTTTGGCGATGGTATCCCACTCTTGTTGCCCAGCCTGGAGTGCACTGGCCCGATCTCGGCTCACTGCAACCTCCGCCTCCTGGGCTGAAGCAATTCTCCTGCCTCAGCCTCCCGAACAACTGGGATTAAGGAGCCTGCCATCGCACCCAGTTAATTTTTTTGTAGTTTTTAGCAGAGACGGGGTTTCACCATCTTGGTCAAGCTGGTCTTGAACTCCTGACCTCGTGATCCACCTGCCTCGGTCTCCCAAAATGTTAGGATTACAAGCGTGAGCTACTGCGCCCAGCCTAAAAATGTCTATAATGTTCATGACATATTAGATGTGATCATACATCCCTCCCTAGGGGTCAACTTCTCCTCCACCACACTCATAACTGCGGAATATTTTTTCATTCGTAAGAATTGCTCTTCCTTAGAAAGTAGAAGAGACAGTGAACTGATTTCCAGATTTAGTTTTGAATAATTTTGTGTCTGTACCCCATAAATATATATATACCATTAGTATATACCCACAAATACTAAATTTTTTTAAAAGGCAGACAATAACAAGTATTGGCGAGGATGTGAATTTGGAACCCTTACACATTACTGCGGAGGTTGTAAAATAGTACAGCTACCTTGGAAAACAGTGTAGCAATTCCTCTAAAGATTTAACCATACAGTTACCATATGACTAGCAACTCCAAGGTATCTACCCAAGAGAAATGAAAACACTTGTACATGAAGGTTCATAGCAATATTAGTCATAGTGGCCAATAGGCAGAAATAACCCAAACATCTACCAATGCATTAGTGGATGAAAATAATGTGGCATCACAGCAGATTATTATTCTGCCATAAAAAAGAATTCAGTACTGAGACATGCTACAACATGAACAAACCTTAAATACATTATACTAAGTAAAAAAAAAAAAAAATGCAGTCACAAAGGACCATATATTATATAATTCCATCTGTATGAAATGTGCAAACTAGGCAAATCCATCAATACAGAAGCAGACTAGTGTGTTCTGAGGACTAAGGAGGGGAATGAGAGTGACTGCTAATGGGCACAGGGTTTCTCTTTCCAGGGGATTAAAATGTTCTGAAATTGGTGATAAGTTGCACAACTCTGTGTGTACTAAAATCTGTACACATAAGTGAATTTTATGACATGTGAATTATATCTCAGGAAAGCTATTATAAAGCCGTTATTGTAATAGTAATAATAATAATTGTGTCATCAACACTCTCCAGACTTACAAAGAACTCTTGGAGTTTCTCCCTTGCAGATGCCCCCTGGAAGCAGGACTGCATAGTAGCAGCAAAGTGACCATACACGAGTGTGACGAAGGCTCCGAGCCCCTGGGATTCTGGGATGCCTTAGGAAGGAGGGACAGGAAAGCCTATGATTGCATGCTTCAAGGTAATGTGCCATCCACAGCCTGTGATCCAGTTCTTTTGTTTTTGGAAACAAGAGTCTTGCTCTGTTGCCCAGGCTGGAGTATAGTGGTACAAACACAGCTCACTGCAGCTTCAACCTCCTAGGCTCAAGTGATCAGCCTACCTCAGCCTCCCAAAGTGCCGAGACTTCAGGCATGAGCCACTGTGCCCCATTCATGTTTTATCTTAATTCTTCAGCCTGTCATAAATCTAGTGTTATGAGTACTATGTCCAGCTGCTCGAACAGGCTTTTTCTCCCCAGGGGTGAGTTTAACTTGGACACCAAGACTTCAAATTCCCACTGGCAATTCAGCTTTCAAAGCTTCCCGAGGTCCATGCCACCTTCCAGGGTCTTAGTGACTCAGGAACCATTTCTTTCTTCATAGCTGCCACCTGAGAAGTCGCAGTCCTCTGGGTGCTGGAGTGGGATCCAGGGGAAGGAAGCCAGTCTCTTATCCCCCTTCCAGAGCCGTTCAGTCATTAACCTGTTTAGGGATACTGGCTGTGTCTGTATAGAATAGACACTCCCGTTCACCGGAGTGAGGTTAGGTGTTATATGTGTGCTTTCCCAGCTGTTCTCAAAATAAGGATGAACATAAGAAGGAAAGTGAACTTGTTAAGCAGTTCCAACAAGCCAGACACTAGTCAACACCTTACACATAGCAACTCCGGTAGTACAACCCAGCACTCTGCCATGTTTATAGATGAGGGACGTGAGGCATACAGAAGTTAGTCAGCTTGCCCAAGGCTGGACAGCAATGGAGTATCCTAAGTTCTCCATAATAATCTGCCCCTCAATGTTTATAAACTTTTATATAGCTTTTAAAACATAATGCCTAGGAAATGTTTGAAATTACAGAAAAGTTAAAAAAAAAAAACGAAGACACTTATCACATCTCTCAGGACTATGCTGTATATAACTTTTTAAAAATAAAATGTGGACCTACTATTTTGTAACCTGCTTTTTTCCTTTATTATGAATAATCTCCAAGTTATTAAAATGTGGATTTCTAATGGCTGCAAGATATTCTATGATTACTCTGTGAATATACATCACTGTACGTGACAGTCTCTGGCAGCTGAGTTGAGCTGCTTCTTGTTTCTGATTTTTCTCCCTTATAAAATAATGCAGTTTGAATACTTTTAAAAATAATCGTATACTTTCCTTCCTAATTGAGAGGATTTCCTAGATGTGGAACTGCCGTGCTAGTTACAAAAGTCTTATAGCATGTGTCAGCATGGACCAAGTTGCACTCATTTGCAATATACAAAAGCGTACATTTCTCAGCACAATCATAAATTCAGCATATTACCTTTTTCCTCCTTGCCAAATTGATGAGACATATAGCTAAGCATTGTTTTGTTTTACTTGGAGGTACATATATATGTATATAAATGTATAATATATACAAATATATGCATATTTGTTATATAACATGCATATTTGTTACATATGTATATACTTTTTAGCCATTTTAATTTCTACTTTGGTGAGTGTCCTATTTGTCTCTTTTGCACATTTTATTGAGAGATTTATGTTTTTCTTATGTATGTACCTTCATCTATTAAGGATATTAACTAGTTGCTGTATTACAAATATTTCCCATTTATGACTTGCTTTTTCTTAATTTTGCATTGTTGCATTTTTATATAATTAATGTATTATTTCCCTTTTGATTAGTTCTTTTACTATTGCAATTGAAAAGGTCTTTTTCACCTTGAAGCTCAGATAAATCCTACCTATGTTTCCACAGTGCATTTAATTATTTCATGTTTTTATTCTTCATCTGGAATTTACTTTGCTGCATGTGGTATCTTCAGCTTTGTTCTCTTTACTTTCAAAGATCCTGGAAGTTTTAACTTCGCACCTCGCCTGTTCATCCTCAGCAGCTCCTCTGGGGATTTCGTAGCCACTGAGTTCGTGTACCCTGCCCGAGCCCCCTCTGTGGTCAGTTCCATGCCCTTCCTGCAGGAAGATCTGTACAGCGCACCCCAACCAGGTAAGCCTTGCAGGAGGCAGCTGTGCTGAACAGCAGAAGGCACACCTTCCAAGAAGCCTTTTGATTTTACATCGGTATTCATTAAGCAGCTTCTCTTTGCCACGTGCACTCCCAGAACACCCAGAACATGTGCTTATGCTATTTCATCCTCATCTCTACATCAGAAGGAAGGAGGGTGAAATCAGCCACACCTTATAGCATAAGGAACGAGGCTCAGTTATTTAACCCACCCAAAGATGTCTGTTAAGAATAGGGTGAGTGCCACAGTGGCAGAGCTGGCATCTCCACTATTCTCCCAGCCTTCCTCTCAGTCTTGTTGCTGCATGGTCATTGGTCAACTGCCATTGCTCCAGTCATCATGTTTGCATTCAAGACAGAGAAAGAAAGCATGAGGAAGAAAGAGCACTTACAGCCACATCTCTCTTTAATCAGATAAAGCACGTTTTCCCAGAAGCCCCCAGCAGACTTTTGCATACGTCCCATTGGCCAGAGCTTGTCACATGGCCAACCCCAACTGCAAGGGAGCCTGGGAAAGCAAATGGCAGAGAAGGGTGTTGGGGTATCAGCTAAGTTAGCCAAGGAACAGGGTCCACCATACCAAGGCTCCACAGCAGAGCCAAGACTCCAGTCCAGGTCTTCTGATGCCAAGGTCAGGGCTGTTCCCACCAGGCCACCACATCAAGACAGAAACCCTTGTGCCCTCATTCTGGCTGGGAAAGTCACAAGAGACTGGGCTTGACAGCCCCTCCAGCCCGCCCTCCAGTGAAGCCAAGGTCAGCTGCCTCTCAGCGTGTTTGTTGCTTCTCACATTACAAGAGCCCAGAGCTGCAGCCAGGGGCCTCACCTCGCACTGGGAGCCCAGGGCACCACTGAAAGTTTGACCTGTGCACATGCTATGCTTGGAAAATCTTAGTCAGTAACCAGAAAGAGAGGCTGTGCCCACACCCTTCATCCTGGAGCTAAGGGCAGGTCACCAACCTCCACTGGGCTTTTAAAATGTGGTTCCTGAATCCTGAAACACATGCCAGGAAAGGACACATGGTGACCTGAGCTAGCAAGAATGAGAGGCATTTTGGCACGTGGAGTAAGAGTCAGGCTGACAATTTGAGGAGGAGAAAAAGGAGGAAAAGACAGAACAATTTTAATTTTTATTTATTTTTTTAAGAGATAGGGTCTCTCTCTATCATCCTGGCTAGAGTGCAGTGGTGCAATCATGCTTTACTGCATCCTCAAACTCCTGGGCTCAAGTGATCCTCCTTCCTTAGCCTCTTGAGTAGCTGGGACTACATGCATGCACCACCATACCAGGCTAATTTTTTTTTTCTTTTTGTAGAGATAGGGTCTCACCGTGTTGCCCAGGCTGGTCTTCAACTCCTGGGCTCAAGGAATCCTTCCGCCCCAGCCTCCCAAAGCACTGGGAGCAGCAGTTTTGATTTTAGGCCCATTTCTCTGTAAGAGAACCATGAGCTCACCTCACTGCTAAGCAGTCACACGCAGGGCAGGAATGCCACTGACCTCTCTGCAGTGAGCTGTGCGCGCCAGCGTTGACTGTGCTCTTTGGAGGTGCATGGCGCTGACAGTCCCTTGAATGGCACATGCATCATCCCTTCCACTCTCAGCACAGCACTGCCAGCATCCAGAAGGGTTACACCGGCTTGAGCTGGAGCAAAGATGGGAGGACCTGGGGGACGAGGAATGAAAGAGGCCAACTCCTTGATGCCACCTCTCTTTGCCTAGAGGCTTCTCCCAGTTGAACTTACAAAGGGCTGGGTGGGACCCTGTGTTTGCCTTTGTCCCTGGGGTAAGAGCCAGGGGATTTCCCCTGTGACACAGCAGTGGGGAGAGGCAGCATCCGCTAGGTTTGGGATAAGTGAGCTGCAGGTGTCCGCGAAGGAGCTCCTGATGGTCGGGCTCTGTCCCTCCCTCACAGCACTTTTCCTTGTTGACAATCACCACGAGGTGTACCTCTGGCAAGGCTGGTGGCCCATCGAGAACAAGATCCCTGGTTCTGCCCGCATCCGCTGGGCCTCCGACCGGAAGAGCGCGATGGAGACCGTACTCCAGTACTGCAAAGGTGAGGCTCCCTCTAACGCGCCTGCAGCAGGGAGCAGATGGGGGAGCCCCTCAGGCACGCCCAGCCAACAGAACCCCTTCCCTTTCTGCGCATGTCAGCCAGCATCTATAAAGCCTGGCAAGTGGTAATGAAACCCATTTTTTCCCCTTTAACTTTTTGAGATTTATTAACTTTTAGATTAGTGCAGTCTCAGCTGCCAGCATGAGGAAGAACTAGTTTTTCTCTCTCATGAGGCCATCTAACATGTTACCCTCAAGGATAAAGGCTGTATTGCAGAAAGCCCAGGGCAGATTCAAACCCTGTTGTACTCGGGGATTGATCACGCTGAGACAAGTTGGCCTCTGCCATGTACATTATCTGCAAGCACTACCATGCTGTGGAGAATGGAAGTCTCCCCCAAATGGCAGATGGCCATTGCCAACCTTATTATTATTTATTATTATTTTTTAGTATTATATCCAAAGAGAAATACCCATAGTAAGTTCATGGTTCTTTACTATACATATGAAATTTCCGGTCTTTTGTGTAAAATGAAAATGCCAGTAATTAATATCTTATTGAATTTTTATGGTTTCATTGATACAATTAAGTTTAATATCACTGAGTATGTGCAACTGATTCTCTTCCTGAAAATCTCTTTAGCAATAAATAACATATGAGACCTTCCACCCAGTGTTATAGTGAGTGTGGATGTGTAAGATGCTGTCATTCGCTGTCAGTCATATTGGAGTTAATCCCATGGTAGGAAGTGAGACAGATGCCTCTACAGGTGAGTTCAGGAGGAAGAAAATGCTCCACCCAGAAGCTGCAGACGGAGCCCTTCTCTCCCTTCCAGGAATGCAGTGTTTTGTTAGGTTCAAGAAGTATAGGCTCAGGTTGATTGTAGGTCACTACAATCATACATAGTTATGAAATTAACATCTTATGTAAGCATCGTCCATGTGTTGTTATGAGCTACTCATAACTTGCATTTTAAGCATGAAGTCATGAGTTCTGAACAAAGAAAAGATTTCAAGGGAAATCACAGAAAGACAGTAGGGTCTACTGACATTGCATTCTGTGTTAACTACAGGAAAAAATCTCAAGAAGCCGCCCCCCAAGTCTTACCTTATCCATGCTGGTCTGGAGCCTCTGACATTCACCAATATGTTTCCCTGCTGGGAGCACAGAGAGGACATTGCTGAAATCACAGAGATGGTGAGCATTCTGTCCTGCGCCTTTTGGACTATGGGTTGACTTTACTTTGGGGAAAGCATCCAGTTGCACTTTCAAAGTGGGAAAATATTTTTCCTTTTGCAACATCTTAGCAAGTCTACATAGAATTTGCTTAGGAAGAAGAGAAGTCTAATGGGAAATCAATTGAACTATTTTAGTAATTTTCTACACAGTATACCCCATTTTAAAAACTTAAAAGCAAAGGTGAGTTTAATCGTGCTGAGGACTATATATGTACATAAAAGCTGAAACTCTTCGTATTGTTGCTAAGAACCTGTGGCTTGGCATTGCTTGTCTCTCAGTGTCCATATGACAACCAACCAAAGCTTCAGGTTTCAGACGTTAACCTTGTGTAGAGGAGACACATATGAAATGTGATGACTTAGTGTGTTCAGATAACTGAATGAAAAGATGTACTGTGACTCACTTATGATAAGGTATCGTTTGGCATATCATTAATATTGTATTTTGGGCCGGGTGCGGTGGCTTATGCCTGTAATCCCAGCACTGTGGGAGGCTGAAGCGGGCAGATCACCTAAGGTCAGGAGTTCAAGACCAGCCTGACCAACATGGAGAAACCCTATCTCTACTAATACAAAATTAGCTGCGTGTGGTGGCACATGCCTGTTAATGTCAGCTACTCGGGAGGCTGAGGCAGGAGAATTGCTTGAACCCAGGAGGAGGCTGCAGTGAGCTAAGATCACCCCATTGCACTCCAGCCTGGACAAGAGTGAAACTCTGTCTTAAAAAAAAAAAAATTTTGTCTTTTATGAGACCATCTGGTATTTCCATGAGGCATTTATCATAACTTCTATCTACCAAAATATTATCTAGAATGTTTTCTTTTCCAACCACACAGAAAAGAATTTTACTATAGCTATGTTCAATTCCTTATTTATGAGCTATCACCATTACTAGCAATAGCAATTCCAAGGATTTGTTTTGATTTGGTGAGAGACAGGTTTTTACCATTTTGATTTTGATTTTTTACCATGTAGGAGAGCTGCTTTGCTTGGGGAAATGACCCAAGTGTATTTTATAGGAAATCTGAGTAATTTTAAACAAGAGTCCACTTCTGTGTAGCAATGGAGAGAGTCTGTTGGATAGTGAAGACGTTGCTGCTCACGCTAACCTGTCCCCTTGGAGCCAAATGGACTTGATCGCCACAGGGAAGGGGCTGATTGAGGCCTGGTCCCTGCCACAGCCAGAGCGAGACGGTTCTGTTTGCCATAACTATGGTATCATGAAACCAGAAGGCTCTGGGGATTCCAAGCTTTGCAGCTGCTGGTCACTATGCAGAACAAAGCCAATCACTGAGACAGGCAAAACCAGGGAAGAAAGTTTATTTGGGTGCTAATAGCCAAGGGGAACGGGACATAAGTCTCAAATCTGTGTTTCTAGCCTACTAAAACTAGGGTTTTTTTATAGCAGGGAAGAAATGTAACCGTGTGGGGTAAACAGGAGTTAGGGTGAGGAAGAGGAGTTAACAGAAAGCAGGGGGAGTTGGTTAGGCATCATGATGAGTGAGGGGTCTGGTAACCTTTAGGTTTTGTTTTTTGAGACAGGATCTTGCTGTGTTGCCCAGGCTGGGGTGTAGGGGCGCAATCATGGCTCATTGCAGCCTCTGGCTCCTGGGTTCAGACAATCCTACATCAGCCTCCCAAGTAGCTGGAATTACAGGCACACACCACAATGCCCCGCTAATTTTTTTGTATTTTCAATGAGGTTTCACCATGTTGCTCAGGCTGGTCTTGAACATCTGGGCTTAAGCCATCTGCCCAACTCAGCGTCCCAAAGTGCTGGGATTACAGGTGTGAGCCACTGCTGGCTTTCTGATACTATCAGAGTGGCCTAATGGTTGGTTTCCTGAGAAAGCAACTCAGATAAGACAAATGTAACTTTCTTGAGTTTCAGGACTGGGAGAGTTAATTTTGATGTTTATTTAAAAGAAACCATAAACATCAGTTCTGTGGGACAGTTGAGCCAGTTTCAGAAGGATGTAACTCACCACCCTCTCTCTGTATTCACTATAGATCCTGTGGGTTGGCAGTGGGGCTGTTTACCGTGGTGCAGGCCTGTGGGATTCCAGCCAGAGGAGAGTCAGGCTTCCCACACCAGCAAGTTATACAAATATTAACATTCGCCAAGTGCTCACTCTGCACTAGGCACAGCTCCAAGCACTTTACACTGATTTTCTCGTTTATCAACAGTCCATCCAGATCTATTTTACTATTACCCCCATTTTACTGGTGTGGGAGCAGAGTCACAAAAACATGAAGGCACTTGACCAAAGTGACTTTTAGCGAGTGGAGGAGTAGGTACTTAGTTGCAGGCAAGACCACTCCAAAACCCGCCTCTTCTTTTCTTAGAGAAAGGATCTTGCTTTGTCACCCAGGCTGGAGTGTGGTGACACAATCATGGCTCACACAAACCGTGAACCCCTGGGCTCAAGCGACCCTTCCACCTCAGCCCCCCGAGTAGGTAGGACTACAGAAACATACCACCATGCCTAGCCTATTTTTGTATTCTTTGTAGAGACATGGTCTCACCATATTGCCCAAGCTGGTCTCCAAGTCCTGGGTTCAAGCAGTCTTCCCACCTCAGCCTCCTAAAGTGTTGAGATTACAGGCACAAGCCACTGCACCTAGCCCAAAACCTGCCTCTTGACCACCACTCTGCCCCATATATTTCTGATTTGAGCAACAGCTCTTAGTCATCCATTCCCATCATCCACCCACCCAAAAGGAGAGCAGCCCATCTGGAGTCAGAAGTTTAATGGAGGAAGAGAATTTATCTAGAAAAGCTTGCTCAGATTAAATTCACACAGTGGTTTTTTAAAAACATGATTCTGCTCCAGAATATTCTACCTTGTAACCTTCTTTTTCTATTGTGGATTAAGAAATGGGGCTGGGGTAGGGAAGGAGGGTGTGATTTCTTTTCAGGTTATTTTAAAATATTTTTAAACAAATTCCATTATTTGGAGGCTTCTGGTGTTTAGACTTCAAATCTACTAATCTTAGTCCACAGTTCATTCATGGAAAAGTCTCAAAATGTTTTTCCAGAGGCAGTTCTGAGGAAGGGTTTGTTTGAAACTCTGTGACAAGGTGAGAAAACATCTAAAAGTCAGAGAAACAAGACTATCTCTACAAAAAAATTTTTTAAATATATCAGGTGGGCATGGTGGCACATGCCAATAGTCCCAGCTACTGAGGAGACTTGAGGTGGGAGGACTGCTTGAGTCTAGGAGTTTAAGGCTGCAATGAGCTATGATTGAGCCACTTCACTACAGCCTGGGTGACAGTGAGACACTGTCTCTAAAAAATAACAAAATTTTGGGCCAAGTGTGGTGGTTCATATCTGTAATCCCTGCACTTTCCCAGGCTGAGGCAGGAGGATCACTTGAGGCCAGAAGTTTGAGACCAGCCTAAGCAACATAGCAAGACCCAGACTCTACCAAAAAAAAAAAAAAAAGGAAAAATAAATTAGCCAGGCATGGTGATGCACACTAGTAGTCCCAGATGCTCAGGAGGCTGAGGCAAGAGGATCACTTGAGCCCAGGAGCTGCAGGCTGCAGTGAGCTATGATCACACCACTGCACTCCAGCCTGGGTAGCAGAGTGAGACTCTGTCTCAAAAAAAAAAAGCATTTTGGCCGGGCGCGGTGGCTCAAGCCTGTAATCCCAGCACTTTGGGAGGCCGAGGCGGGTGGATCACAAGGTCGAGAGATCGAGACCATCCTGGTCAACATGGTGAAACCCCGTCTCTACTAAAAATACAAAAAATTAGCTGGGCGTGGTGGCGCGTGCCTGTAATCCCAGCTACTCAGGAGGCTGAGGCAGGAGAATTGCCTGAACCCAGGAGGCGGAGGTTGCGGTGAGCCAAGATCGCGCCATTGCACTCCAGCCTGGGTAACAAGAGTGAAACTCCGTCTAAAAAAAAAAAAAAAAAAAAAAAGCATTTTTAATTTAAAATTTAAAATTTTTTAAAATTAAGAGTCCAGAGAGCTGCAGGGCTTTGGGCAATCCCTTATCTCTCAGAGCTGCTTCTTCAGTAACGTGGAGCAATGAGTCCTCAGGCTGTGTGCAGATGGCACAGGACTGTGTGTTTGCAAGCACTTGATAAAACGTTCAAGTGTGGGACACATTTCTCCTCTCTGCCCCCTCCTCTACTCTAGGACACGGAAGTTTCCAATCAGATCACCCTTGTGGAAGACGTCTTAGCCAAGCTCTGTAAAACCATTTACCCGCTGGCCGACCTCCTGGCCAGGCCGCTCCCGGAGGGGGTCGATCCTCTGAAGCTTGAGATCTATCTCACCGATGAAGACTTCGAGGTAAGCAGTTCTTCCACTGGGATGGGGATGGGACTAAAACAACACACACAGCTGAGAGTCCTTTCACTGAGCCACTGGTGTTTCTCCCAATGTTCCAGTTTGCACTAGACATGACACGAGATGAATACCACGCTCTGCCCGCCTGGAAGCAGGTGAACCTGAAAAAAGCAAAAGGCCTGTTTTGAGTGGGGAGACGCGGAGGAGCCTCGAGGTCATATCCAATACCTCCACCCCAGGGAAATGGATATAGAGTTTTGGACTGGTGTTTTTCACAAAGTAGTTTTCAATCAGTTTTCGGAACCTGACATTGTTAAAGATACTGCTTGTCCCAGAGTTGTGTATTTTGTAAATGTTCAAGTACACTGTTTGGAAACTTCTTTCCACCATTCAGCAGGTTATCAGAATTAATCAAAGTATTGTTACGTGCACTTAAGCCGCAGCTGCTGTAGACAGCACTGCCTTGTTCCAGCTAGACAATGCCTTTTTTTTTTTTTGAAGCAGTTCTCTTTATAAAGTGTTATTTTGATAGTTTGTGGATTCTAAAATATATATATATATATTTATATAAACACCATATAAGTCAAATATGTATTTAGCAAAGCAATACGTATTCATTCACTTTCTAGATTTGTTTTGGTGTCAAAATAATATGAAAAGGTAGTTGGAGTTGCTTCTGTGGAATGAGCTCTGCCACCAATACGTATCTTCACACATGTTTGGAAACATTTCCTGCAGCGTTAGGTATGACTTGTTCTGAGTACTGCTTCCGGTGCTAAAATGAACAAAGAATTTCTACATAATGGCCTGGACTCTGGAGAATCTATGCGAATCAACCTTTCTACCTTAATATCTCCCCAAAAATGTATAGTGCCTTGTTTTTATGTACAGTTTATATACAGAAAAGTTTGCTCTGCATTTTTGATGATGGTTTGGAACATTATCTACAATTTTCTTCTCAAATAGTCAAAATAAAAACATCTCAATTTCTAATACCTGTTGTAAACATTACACATGTCATTTTGTGATACGGGACTCCCAAATAAAAGCATCAGAATAAACACAACAATTAACTGATTGGTTCACATTGAATTCCAAGCATGTTCCTTTCTGGAATTTTTTTTTGTAAATGTTAACATAGCACCAGTATTTTGTCAATAAATATAAATGATCTATACATTCGAATTTAGTTTAGGGCAAGATTTTATACAAGGTTATAGGATTAGAGTTATTTGCCCCATAAAATTAGTACTTATTACTATATTGAAGACATACTTTTGCAAATCATCATTCAGTAGAAGTTCTTTATCCCACAACTCTTATCTACAATTTCAGTTTTAGGATCTCAGTGCCTTTAAAAAAAAATTGTATGGGCTGGGCACAGTGGCTCACGCCTGTAATCCCAGCCCTCTGGGACGCTGAGGTGGGCAGATCCCTGAGACCAGGAGTTCGAGGGCAGCCTGGCCAAGATGGTGAAACCCTGTCTCCATTAAAAATACAAAAACTAGTCGGGCAAGGTGGCGCATTCCTATAATCCCAGCTACTCAGGAGGCAGAGGCAGGAGAATCGTTTGAACCCGGGAGGCGGAGGCTGCAGTGAGCCGAGATCGTGCCACTGCACTCAAGACTAGGCAACAAGAGTGGGACTCCACCTCAGGAAAAAAAAAAAAAAAAAGAAAAAAGGAAATTCTATGGATAAGACATCTAGAAAACTCTTCACAAGCTCCTATGTCCTTAAAGAATTAAGTCCATGATTTTGGAACATATTCTGCAGACCTACTCTGAATTATCATAGCCCCTCCCCACTCCCTGTTAGTCTAATTTAACACATCCAATCACAGCACATTTGCCTGAAACTTCAGAACTTCAGAAACCTCTAACTGAAGGTCTCACCGTTTTATGACCCAACATCAATGAACTTTTCTACCTCGATTTCCTTTAAAAGGTGACAATCCTAGCTCTGCCGCCTGCATCACAAGATTCCGAGCAAGGATCTAGTGGAAGCTTTTTGAAAATTGCCAAGTGCTAGATATCTGCTGGTATTAAGATCATTGTGATGGTAGCTGAAATATGAAAGCCGGAAGGTTAAGTTAGGGAGTGTCGTCACACACCTAGAAATGATGAATTAAACCAAAGCAAGGAGAGGAAAAAGGAGAGAGAGAGGTTCAAAGTCTATGACCCATACATAGTCTGCAAAGAGGCATGGAGAAAGGTTCCTGGAGTCGCTAGGGCAACCTGAGGGTTAGAAAGACAGAGGCAGGGTCGCAACCTCGACAGCAGGTTCCAGAAATCAGTCAGACCCTTATATACCCAGGAAGGAGCTTGGGTTGCTAAAGGAACTTCCAGTGGAGAGCTGCTATAATTAATAAACAAGATAGGTGTTCTTAGTAATAATCATTAACACCAGATTTTCCCATAGTCCTTTAAAATTGTGTCTCTCTACATTGGCAGCTGGGTACGGTGGCACATGCCTATAATCCCAGCACTTTGGGACGCAGAGGAAGGCAGATCACTTAAGGTCAGGAGTTTGAGACTAGCCTGACTAATATGGCAAAACCCCATCTCTACTAAAAATACAAAAATTAGCTGAGTGTGGTAGCGCACATCTGTAATCCCACCTACTTGGGAGGCTCAGGCACAAGAATCCCTTTGAGCGTGGGAGGCAGATGTTGCAATGAGCCAAGATCGCACCACTGCACTCTAGCCTGAGTGATAGAGTGAGACTTTGTCTCCAAAAAAAAAAAAAAAAAAAAAACAATAAACCACTGATCCCCAAAATGTGCTGTCCATCCACTTCTTGCCTCTTCTTGGTAAGACACCCCAGCTTGGAGAACCAGTTTACTTTTTGCCTCTTTCCCTCTAAATTGTTTCCCACGTCTCTTTCCTGCTTAAAGAACCAGATCCTATTTTCCATGTTTTTCTGATCCTTTTCCTTCCATAACTGCAACCTTTGACCTGTGTATTCTGGGAAGGGACCTAGCCGAAACACATGAATCGCTAAAATCTCAAGTCTCTGCCCATGAATTAACACTGGTGCTTGGGGCTTTTCTCCACAGTCCTCCAAACTCAAACCCCTGCTTGCACCCAATGAAGCAGGGTCAGGGAAATGGAATTTCCTGCATTTGCTGCTCTTGAACTAAGTGACTCATGAGAGGAGTAGGTGTTTGGGTTGAGATCTGTATCAGGAGCCATGGGGCAGACGGGATGTTGAGTGTTCCAAAGCATTGGATAACTGTGTGAATATGAGCCATTTCCAGAGTGGGACGAGGGTATCTCTTTGTTCCCAGGACCCAGGAAGGAAAGGCTGTTGGGAGCCCGCTCCTTTCTCTCCTATTTTACATTTCCCACCCCCACTCTTAGAACTCGCATTTTGCTAAAAGGGAAAGTATTCCAGAAACAGTTCCAGAATTCATTTTGGCCCTTTGTTTTTCTGATTATAAAATTAGTAGTGTGTGTCCACACAGAGACCTGGACACAGATGTTCATAGCAGCTTTATTCCTAATAGCGCTTTCCTGTAAACAACCCACGACAGTCAACTGAGAAACGGAAAGACAAAATGCAGGACCTCCATGTGGTGGCATCCTCCCCCATGGCAAAGGGACGGATATCCTGCATATACACAATATACACGTGATACTCACTACAACATGGATACACCTCAAAATCATTAAGTGAAAGAAGCCAGATGCAAAAGGCCACATACTGCTTGATTCCTTTTATATGAAACTTCCCAGAAAGGCAAAAATCTGTGCACACAGCAAGATCAAAAGTGGCTGGGGTTGGAGATGGGAGTGGAGGTTGACTGTAAATGGCAAGAATGATCATTTTGGAATAATAGAAATGTCTTAAAATTGGATTATGGTGATGGTTGTACAACTCTATGACTTCTGAGGCCAGACACTGGCTCACTCTTGCAATCCCAACACTTTAGGAGGCTGAGGCTGGAGGATCACTTGGGCCCAGGAGTTCAAGACCAGCATGGGCAACATTGTGAGACCCCCAACTGCACAAAAAATTTTTTTTTTCTCAGACGGAGTTTGGCTCTTGTTACCCAGGCTGGAGTGCAATGGTGCAATCTCGGCTCACTGCAACCTCCGCCTCCTGGGTTCAGGCAATTCTCCTGCCTCAGCCTCCTGAGTAGCTGGGATTGCAGGCACACGCCACCAAACCCAGTTGATTTTTTTATATTTTTAGTAGAGACGGGGTTTCACCATGTTGATCAGGATGGTCTTGATCTCTTGACCTCGTGATCTACCTGCCTCGGCCTCTCAGAGTGCTGGGATTACAGGCGTGAGCCACCGCGCCCGGCCACAAAAAATTTTTTAATTAGCCAGGTGTATTGGTGAGTGCTTGTAGTCCCAGCTACTTGGGAGACTGAGAAGGAAGGATCTCTTGAGCCCCAGGAGTTTGAGTCTGCAGTGAGCTATGCTCGTACTACTGTACTCCAGCCTGCTGACAGAGTGAGACCCTGTCTCTAAAAAAGAAAAAAAATTTTAAAATTACTGTTCACTTACATGAGTGTATTTTATGGCATATATATTACATATATATATATGCACACACATACACAAATGCATTATATATATATATGTAAAACACCGCAAAAAAGCAGTTTAAAAAAGTTACACCTGATCTATGTAAAAAATGCAATCACTACAAGAATATATAATCTAGGAATCAAAACTCATAAATAATCCCACTAACCAAAACACAAGTAATAATCTGATTTCTATTATTCTGGATTTTTCTTTACATCTACTAGCATAAATGTGTATGCCCACATTAAAAAAAAAAAAAAAAAAACTAGCACCAGCCTGCAGTTTCAGGAACTCAGGAGGCTGGGCCAGGAGGATGGCTTGAGCCCAGGAGGTAAAGGCTGCGGTGAGCTATGACTGTGCCACCACTGCACTCCAGCCTGGGTGACAGAGTGAGACCTAGTATCTAAAAATACATAAATAAAGAGAAAAAACGGTGTTTGTTTTGCATCTTAATTTTTTTGTTAGCAATAAGTTGCAGACACTTTATTTACAGGTGTCTGATGTTCTGAGATCACAGAAGGCCCAGTGTGAAGACCTAATTAGCAATGGTCCTGAGCCCCAACCCTGCTGACCTCCCCCCACCGTCCTCAGCCATTCCTCATGCCTCCTGAGGACAAGCAGCATCTAGCCACAGTCCAGAGAGAGAATCTGGGATTCATTTTCACAGGACTTTCTTGATGTCAGATCTAGAGTAAGGCACAGAAGTCTCAAAACAGACCTCTGTTCAAAGCCTGCCTGAACTAGCATAGCAGCTAGTAATGGAGAACAATAACCAAGAAGTCAATAAAGAATATGGTGCAAGGCCAGGTGCAGTGGCTTACACCTGTAATTCCAGTGCTTTGACAGGCCAAGGAGAGAGGTCCCTAGAGGCCAAAAGGTCAAGATCAACTTAGGCAACACAGTGAGATCCTGCCTCTACAAAAAATTTAAAAATAAGCTGGAAATGGTGGGGACATGACTTTAGTTTCAGCTACTCTGAAAGCTGAGCTGGAAGAGATCACTTGGACCCAGAAAGTAAAAGCTACAGTGAGCTATTATCCTGCCTTTGCGCCCAGTGACAGAGCAATACCCTGTCTTTAAAATAAAAAATTTAAAAAAATTAAAAAAAAAAAAGTACAGTGCTCTATTTTCAAAAATATCAAGGCTGAAGAGTGCATTTAGGATTGCAGGACTCAGTGTCAGAGTCCGTCCTAAAAGACGACGCAGCAGGACCCCACCTCTCCTTTCTTCCTCCACGCTCACCCTCCGTGCTTCCTTCCTGAAGGAGGCCATTCCGTTATTAAAATCACGAACCGCAAAGATCGAGCAGGGAGCATCATTTGCCAGTGAGGATATCTGAGGTCCCAGTGGGAAAGATTATTTTTTTTGGTTGGATGGGATCTTTCCACAGATTCACATACAGTTACCATGAGGCTACAGCATCTGCTGAAGTCTATTTCTAGTATCATGTTGCACATTCCAGACCCCTAATTATCTGCAGTGGCCCACATTCATTCATGAATGCTTGCATTTACTACTTGTTCATTCAGACAATGATTGAGTGTGTG